GCATATTTTTCCAGGGGTTAAAAACCATGGGTTTTCTCATGTTTTCCCGTGACATTTTCTCACATCGGGTCGGCTGCAAGAGATCTGATCAGCTGAGGTTGCCAAGACCCAAAGTCCCCAAGCCGAAAGCCTCCGAGATGTTGCAGGTCGTGGGGAGCTGTGGATGGCTGGAATTTTTGTAGCCCAAAACTTTTCGGACAAAGAAAGTAGGGATTAGAGGCTTCAAAAATACCATGGTCTACCAGTCTACCCAATTTCATTAACTCATGAAAACCATCCCCAAAATCACCATTTGGATGGGTAGGTTCTTACTCTCTGGTGATTAACATAACTATGGACAGTTACATTTTTTTTATGGGTAGAGCATCCATAAATGGGCCATTTTCCATAGCTATAGCAGCTATACTATGTTAGTTTACCCGAGGGCAAATCCCACTAAATCACCATTCAAATCCCATGGAAAATCCTTATGAAACCTTCCTTCCACAGTTTTTTTCCAATGAACCCACCATTTGAGCCCTATTCCAACTGAGATTCTGCTGCTCCCAATCAAATCCCATCAACCCCCCAGGTAAAGCCCTATTAAAATATATTAAAATCCCATTCAGCCACCAATTTTCTTGCTGGTTAAGATCCCGCCTCAGGTCAAGTTACCAGAGGTGCAGCCTACGCCTAAGCGGCGTCTGGCTCCGAAGGTGGCTTGGTGAAATTGCTTCGCCTCCGGTGTTTCGAATGGGAAAGGGGGGGAGATCCCGGCTCTGAAGAGATACCCGGCTGGGAAGAGAATCTCCCCTCTGTCGGTTCCAGGTTTTTCCACTTCTCATCCTGGATTGGCTCAAGATGGTCCAAAAAAATCTATGAAAGGTAGCCCCAATCTACCCTCTGGTAAACAAACATATATAGCTATTGAACATGGCCATAGAAATAGTGGATTTACCCATTAAAAATGGTGATTTCCATAGTTATGTTAGTTTACCAGAGGGTAACTTTCCAAGGATTTCCACAGGATAACCAATAGATTACCCTCTGGTAAATCAAACATAGTGACCAACAAAATCCACCATTTGTAGTTAAGTGAAAAAACAAAAAGGTTGCTTACCCTCTGGTATCAAACGTGGCTTTCTGGAAAATCCACCGTTGATAGTGGATTTTCCTATTCAAACCTTCATCAACACCTTGAAATTTTGGTGAATAACAGACTGACAGAGGCTGCTCAAAAAATCTGGGATTTTCAAAAGTGGGGTGTCTGAAGGTGGAGATTCCCTGCAACACCAGTTTGGGGTCATCGGACGACGGGTGTCTGAAAATTGCAAGTCTTCTCAACCATTTTTCGTGTTTTTTTTGATGTTTGGAATCTTTTGTGGTGACAAAACAAGTCGTGCAAAAACTGGAACTCAAAATGATCCCAAAACTGGTATTCTGGTATTCTTTCAAATGGGAAAACCAATGGTTTTGGGGTACCCCACAATTTTGTGAAGTGCCCATTTGGTTGATGGGAGAAAAACAAGTTTGCAATCCACAAACGGGTGGGACAAGTGTTCAATGGCTATTCAATAGGTATATACATAATACATACATATATATATACATATACATATATATATATATATATATATGTATATATATACATATATATATACATATATACATATATATATATGTATATATATATTCAGTATATGTATATATGTATATATCATGCTGGCTTAATAGATGGATTGGGTTACCTGGTCACCAAAACCAACTCCAATCAGCTTGTTTTCCAAGTCTGACTTGTTCTTCCAGGTCAGATTGCCAGGAGGGTTGGATTACTTATTGGAGCACCATTTACAACCATTTACAGTATATGGAAGTGAATGGTCCATAGGTCCATTACTTATTTCCATGAATCAACCAATGGATCTATGGAGAAATAACAAATTGGACCAAAAATCTATGTCTCCAATACTTTTGACCAACAGTTGATCTACCTATAACTGGGGTTGATCCATGGATCTATGGGGAAATAGAAAGTTGGACCTTTTATTGACCAAAAATCTATTAGCCATGGATCAACCTTCAGAGACGGAGAAAAATCTCTGGAAAATATGGTGCAGAACCATTGGATCAATTGGAATTTTTAACCGCGATCAAAACCAAACAAATGGCGATCACTGGGTATGTCTAGTCCCTGGATCACAGAAAAACTATGATCCTCTAAACACTTGTTTCTTGATGGTAAAGAGTAGGGTTTAGGCTCTGACTTGGATGTGCATCTCAGTTCGGAAGTACCACTAATCCTCATTCTTTCTAGCTATGTAAATCATAGTGGTTGGTAAATCCTCTCAGTTTACAAAACCAGCACAGTGGTTTCTTGGGATTTTTACATAACTCCAAGGTGCCGAAGGAGCCTGAGGCACCGTTCATGGAACTGCCAGAGGACCGGATCCGGCAAAATGGAGCTTTCATAGGGCATAGGGATTTCATGGGAAATATCGCCTACTTGGGGTTACCCTCTGATAAACTAACATAACTATGGAACATTACAATTTTTCATGGAAAAAATCACTATAAATGGTGATTTTCCATCGTTTTTTGTATGTTTACCAGAGGGTACCAGTTGAGGCAGTTGAGGCTGATCTTTATGGCTAGAAACAGGCAACCAGAGTCATCACCAAAGTTGGGAAAAAAATCTTCGCACGACTCTTGGCGACAGCCACGGGAAAAAAAGGTGGAACTGCAACCCCCAAGTAGTGCTGAGTTTTAGAGTTCCAAGGAGAGTGGAAATCATCGTAAAATCAGGCTGTCGATGATCCTGGATTCATCACGATTCATCAAAAGCGTTTGGCACATGAAATCATGGTGAATAAACCAAAAGCCAGGATCCACCACCAACAGAATGGGAGTTGGGCTGCTGACACGCCTCCATTCAGAAATTGGGCCCATCCCTCCTAGTCATGGGCTGAAATGGTATCCCGAAATCCGCTGGTTGATCATTTTTCCCATTCAAACCGTCATAAACCCAGTCATGGGGATATCACCATCACACGTTTCCGATCTGAAAATGGCACATTATCATACATTATCCAGAAAATGATTCGAATTATAGGTGAATTATGTTTTTTCTCAACCATCAAATTGGTGGTGGTTTTTCCCGGCTTGTCCCTGGACATTTTCCGAGAAAGCCAGGAGCCAGAGACTACGGGCTTTGAGGCGGAGTGAAAAAGTTGGTGGATGAGATCGAGCCATGGGAAAGTTGATGTTGTATTATTTGGCAATGAGTCATAACCCTGGTACCTAGTGAACCACAAAACAGCTGGTAAATGGATGTTCATCCCATTAAAATTGATACTAATAGGTTTTGACCCATCCCTATTTAAAAGACGCGCTGATTTTGAGCATGATATAATGATATACCATCGTCAAGTTACTTGGGTAGATTTGAGGCTTGATCCATCTCACCTTTTTTCGAGATGTTTGAATGATCTTACCTTCCTACTTGGTGGCTCATCCCACTTAGTAAGCGACTTATAACCCCAGTTATAGGTAGATTAACCCTACTTATCCCACTTATAACTGGGGTTATAATCCACTTACTAACTGGGATGAGCCACCAAGTATGTACGAAGGGTTGACGTTCCATAGCCCACAGCTTTGATACAGCGAACATTTTCGACATTCCTGGAACTCCCCTGGGCAGAGACGATGCGTTCCTGCCTCCAATGGAAGTACCCAGATAGACTCCCAGTGCTGGGCAGTGTGAATATATATATATATATATACACACACACATAGAATTAAGTGGACATAGAAATACATGCATCATTAACACACACACAAGATAGATGTATGTATGTATGTAATGTAATGTAATGTAATGTAATGTCATGTCATGTCATGTCATGTCATGTCATGTCATGTCATGTCATGTAATGTAATGTAATGTATGTATGTATGTATATATATACACATGCATATCTATATATTATATATGTGTATATATGTACATATTAGAATGTTTAATGTACAATTTTCCATATCATGTAGGACCGTACTGCCTTTATGCAGGAGCTGGGTGACCTTGCTGACCGATGGAACACTGATACCTTTCATGAGGAGCAGGAGCTGGGCGGAAACGAGTTCGGCGGTCCGGTGGACTTTCCCATTGGGTAAATTATAACGACCTCACTGTTCACCGAGCCCTGGAATCATGGTTTATGTCAGGGGAATCATCCCCAAATGGCCCAACAATTCAGGTTGGTGAAATACTATAATTTACCCATATATATATATGTATATGTATGTATATATATATATACATCTCTTAACTCATGAGATAGTGATGATATTTCATGGGATTAGGAACTATTGAGAACAACTATTATTAATTATATAATATGGTTAAGCAGGGGATTCTAATAGTGGTAACAATGGTTGATAATGGCTATCAATCCCTCCCCAAATTTATATCAAACACCTCCCGTAAACCATGGTAAAAAGGAGGGTTTCTGAAACCACGAATTTGGAACCATGGGCCATGGCGCTGTTTAGTTTGAACGGGGGATAGGATCAACATGTCAACATCTTTGTTTCAGATGTATATAGGTGATTACATACGCCGTAAAATGCTGATGCCAACATGTTCTCATATCCACAGAAACGATGTTTGGATAATTTTGTAAAGTATCGTAAAACTACCTGTGCTCGATTTTTTGTTGGCCTGAGGAAACAACAGCGGCTATGGACCACGTGTTGGATATGGAAGATGCCAAGAATATGGAGCACTCTTTTGAGGATCAAGGGCTGTCGCGTACAGTTTCTTGTTTTGTTGGAAAGGGGTTTGGGTCGGAATGTGGATAAAACCATATGAACATCTGAAATTTACAGTGAACCGCGAGAATACATAGCTTGGATGTAAGAGCAAACAGCTTCAATTCACAACATGGCAGAGATTTTGCCAATGGTTTGTCTACATTTTGCATCAACTCCATGAATTTCTGGTTGATTTCAGCTGGCAATTGATTTGTTTTTTTTTTGAGAGATCTGGTAGAGTTTCCCACTGTTAAAACAAGTGAAATACCACATTTGGGGCTGAACCTCTACCCTCTGGTTATTTAACATCGCCATGGAAGCCATAGCCCATTTATAGATGATTTTCCCATTAAAACCTCCATTTATAATGGATTTTCCATGGCTATGTTAAATCACCAGATGGTAACCATGTCTTCTTGAAAGATTATGGCCCCTGTTGTAGAAACCCTGGACTCTCTTTCTTGATGTCACGTCGATCTCAAGATAGCTTCGTCTCACAGTTCTTGACCCTCCCATCAGGTTGCAGTTGTGGTTATTATTCTGTGAAGCAACATACGTTGGGATATAACCCCTACAAGTATAGATATAGAATATGATTACATTAATTATATATAGTATATATATAGTATATATATAGTATATATATATAGTATATATATATATATAGTATATATATATATATAGTATATATATAGTATATATATAGTATATATATATACAGTATATATATAGAGTATATATATAGTATATATATAGTATATATATAGTGTATATATATATAGTGTATATATATAGTGTATATATATATAGAGTATATATATATAGTATATATATAGTGTATATATATATAGTATATATATAGAGTATATATATATATATTATCCACACATATAGTTCACTGGCAAAACACCCCATTCTGCAATTCCAGAGGGATCCTCCTCGATGCAGGATCCCATCGAGGACTATCCCGAGGAGATCTGATGGTGAGTTTATGGTGATTTAATGGTCAATCATCAGATTTGTCATCTATTTCTATGTGAAAAATGGTGTTTCAATGCGGTTTAATGGTGATTTATTGGTGGTTTAATGTAATTTAATGGTGATTTAATGGTGATTGAACTATCAAATGGTGAGTTGATGGGGATTTAATGGGGTTTAAAGGGATTTGAATTGGTAATCAGACGTGGGAAATCCACCGCTTCGATGTTACGTTGCGTACGAGAGGGTAAAATCCATAGATGTCATTGCCATAACTGGTGTCATCAGACTTTTTTTTAAAATCCATAGCTATCCAGTGGCATTAATTAATGGGATCATTCATGGGATAGAATCAACCAGTTTATGGTGATATTTTCTGGTCAAAAAATTGGAGTTTTTTCATGTTTTTTCCCTCTGTCATCAGTCCATGGTGCTGGGACATCTCCGAGTTCCTAGCCATGGAGGTTTAGTTCGGATTTGAAAAAGCCATGGAGCTGACGAAGTCGGGTATCCCATTCAGCAAAGAATATTTGATATGCTGGGAATTGCTGGGATATATATATATAACCAACATTGAAAATTTGGTTGATGGATATATCCCAGATATGGTTGAGAAATAACCTCCCAACAATTACATAACCAAAATTTATATAAATCATATATAGCCGATATGATTGATGGAATTGCAATTCAGCCAGATATCAGCCGATTGGATTTCACATGGATCGTAGTACCCTCTGGTAATTTGTTACAGTTCGCTATTGAAAATACCCCATTTAGAAATCGTTGATTTAGCTATTCAAAATGGTGGATCTTTCCATAGTTATGTAAACGTTTACCGGAGGGTAAAATCACCTTTGTGTTGTTTGGCCATTCCTTGTTTTATCTCAGAATCATCCGACCTTTGATATTCGTGACACACCTATTTTGACTGGTACCCCACCAGAGACATCTGATCAAATCACCACTTTGGGAACTAAACATGCACACATGTTGCTGGTAAAGCACACGTATTCCTTCTTGAAACCCTTACATCTCCACTTTCTCTACTAAGTTTCCAATCAGATTTACAGTATGGGTCATGCTTAGATGCCAATCAATTTTATCGTTTTGCAAACCATTTCAATTGCTAAAAAAGCTGTCATTCAACTGGTTTCCCGGACGCAGTTTCAGGAGCCGCTGATCCTCCCCAAGCGCACCTCTCTCATCGCAGAACTGTTGACGGAGACTGACGGGTAAAGAGACAGTATCAGCGGGGATAGTTTCGAGATAGTTGATAGCGGTGGTGCCCCAGTTCGATATCGCGAAGTTGGTTTATACCCCAACTACAGTTATGATCAGTTTTAGTCACAAAGCCATAAACCCTAGTTAAGCTACTTGTAAACGAAACATATGAGGAAATCGCTCATGATGGTTGATTGGTGAATGTAGGGGTTACACTATCCAATTCGTTGGGGATTATGATAACTCACAACAGGAATACCCGTTGACCAATCAGAATTTCATGGGAAAAATTGGTTTAATCAAAGACAAGAGAGCATAATTAATATGAACTATGGGACATCACAGGGGATGTAGTTGATATCATTGCTATATTCGACAACAACTCATAACAACTCCGATAAATGGGAATGATATATCCCGCCCCAACAAGTGCATTTGGAAGGGGAACAATAGGGATATAAATATGTGGATAAATGGGGATAATCTATCAAATCCCAATAATCACCATTATATGGGGAAAATGGTGATAAATGGGGACGATGTATCACCACCCAAACACAAGTAGTATAGCAGGGGTACTGGGGATGAATGGGTATGAAATATCAAATCGTACTGGGGATGACAATACTTTTTAAGTGAATCTTTTGATGTTCATGTATTTGCTAAGTATGGATAGCTGGGAATAATTTATTGGTGATAATTGATAACTGGGGACAAGCGAGGATCACTGGGTGTAACTGGGGACAGAATTATATGATAGATGATATTTTGGAGAAGTGTACAGTGATTCATGGTCGGAAGTCGGAAGCAGGTGAAAAAAGCCGAAGATGAAATGATGATGATTCTTCCTTCATCATCAATAAATTATATATTTATCAAATTGTTGATATGATTAGATATATCATATATGATATATCAAATATATCTATATCAAGTTAATATCAAATATTATATAGATATATCAATAATATATCTCCATCATACTCAGTAGATATTCTGATGCAAATGGCAACAATATATCAACCTTCAATGATTACATGACATCGTATGCACCCATCATTGGTGCTTGATACATTGTGGTAGTCGGATATACTGAATGGGGAGAATACAATATCAACTAACTATGATCATACCTTCTGGTAATTTAACGTGGCTATGGAAAGTCACCATTAAAAACCACAAGTAAACGATTAAATCATCTTTCAACGGGCCATGGCTTCCATACAGGGTGGTGCCCCAGTTCGTTAGCCAAGTTGGTTTATACCAACAACTATGGTTTTATAGGTGATATATCGAACTAGTGAATGGGATTATAATCCACTTATAACTGGGGGTGGCACCACCCTGTAGCTATTTGAAATAACCAGAGGGGGATTCTCGGGAAAATCACCATCGCTGGGGATGGGACTTTAGAGATCACCAAAAGCATCCCCAATGTGTTGACGTTGCATGACGTTGCTTCAAATGCTTCAAAGCAAGAAATTGGAACCTGAGTAAATGTGGGATATAAATATAATTAATATGCAATGTATATATATATAATATCATCTGTATTGACCCAAGCAGCTCAAAGTTTTAATTGTTTGCAGGGTATCAAAGAGTAGCCACGACATCAAAAGATAAAATCCATGATTTTCTTCAGAACCTAACCGTTAGCTCAATGGGGATTTGGCTTTGCCCGTGCACAAGCCAAGGAAAAAAACTATCACACTCTGGGACATGAATCAAATGAATCAACCAAACTGAGAGGTCATTTGCCAAAGCCAAATGGAATCTTCAACAAACAGGAGGCGTTGAACAGTATACAACAGTATACCCTCTGGTAATTTAACATAGCTATTGAAAATTGCCCATAGAAATAGTGGATTTTCCCATTAACAATGGTGATTTTCCATAGCTATGTTAGTCATTACCAGAGGGTACATCAACACTTTTGGATACCCTCCGCTGATCAACCACGGCGCCATGGCAGGACTTTGGATGCTTCAAACAGAGAAAATGCTGACGTCGAGATCCGTGGACGTTTACAAGGAAGGGCCTCGGGACGCAACTTATCTGAAGAAAAATCGGGACGAATCTAGCGGTAACAGGAAGATATCCAGTATCGAAATTTGATTTTCCATGGATTTTTTCAGTTTGGTATAAAGAATCTGCTGTGCATTTCTTATAACATTCCTAAAATGCCACATGATGGTCACATTCTGCGGGAAAAGGAGCATGGTTATTGACCTGTGCAATAACCAGAATAAAGAAAATCCAGTGAGTTATAGTTGATTTTCCTGGTTTTCCAGTTCACTTCTTTTGATCCCGACAGGTCCGACAGGTTGGACACATGCTGCGCCGCTGTGTTGCGGCCACGGTGTCCTTTCAAAAGAACCGCGAAGCGCAGCGCTGCGTCGTGGTTTGCGTGGTGATCCACCATTGTTGATGGGTTTTAGGGGCTGAAACTGCTTGGTTTATGAGGGATGATTATAGCCAGCAGAACTTCATGGGATGTGATAGGGGCATTTTTCCTGGCTCATTTGATGGGAGAATCAATGCAGATCAATGATTTTGTGGTGGGTTTTTCCATTGCCACCTCAGATTATCAGAGGGCATTCAGTGGGATTCATTAATATTCAGAATAGACACCTGTCAGAGATGCTTTAACGATTTTGATGTGCCAATTTTCGAGAAGAGTCGACCTTGTTCTCAGTGCTGCCGTGCGTATTTTCAGCGTTCCCAGATCTGAGACGGGGCTTTTCCAGACTTCCCAGTTGGTTGATTTCAAGGATTTAATCCTACCGATGGTCATGGGAATCATAGAGGAATATGATCATTGTTATTATTATTATACTACTGTACCATAGAGCAATATATATATATATACCCTTGATGTCCCTTGATATATTGTGGGATGATCATCATCCATGATCCATGGAGTAATGACCGGGAATTTTGGCTCTCAGCTTTCTGCATTTTCTGCATCAACGGAACGGGATGATGGAGGCTGGACGTTGACGCAGTTGAGGGATGCCCTATAAACTGAAAAAACTGGCGGTTGGACCACTGGGAACATCTGTCAATGGATTGGTTTTCACGGGAAAATCGAAAAACCGGAAACCAGAGTTATTTTCCCATTAACTATGGGGTTTTCCTGTAAAATTTCCCTTAAACCAATCCATTGAATCTGGGAACATCTGGGAAAATCATGATTTTGTTAGCTGGAAGGGGATACCCGGCCTGGTAAACATTTTCACAAAAAACGATGAAGAAAGATTGGAAAGATCCACCATGCATTTTTCCATGGGAAATTCAATGAACTTTCAATGGCCATGGCTGAAACATAGGCGAACTGGAACAGTCATGGCTTTCCAGAGACGATTTCAATCCAATTGAGACGAGCAATGTCATGTCAAAGCCTCAAAGCCTTGTCAAAAGTGGCCAAAAGTGCCCATCGATGGCTTACCAGGAGTCTGGAGGTTTGGTTTCCCTATCCATGGTATCCCTAAGTTCCATGGTTCATGAAAGTTATGGCCTGATTGATACCCAGTTATCAGCAAGTCACCCCGTAAAAATGGTTCATGATCACCCCATTTAGAATCATAAAAATCACTCGTAAAGGGCAATCGTTTTTTTTGTTTTTTTCGAACCTGAGTTTCTCTATTGAAAACCTAACTTCCATGGCATCGAACGTCATTTTTTCCCATTTTTTGCCATATTTTCCCCATCAAAAATGGCACCAACTGAGGGATTTTTGGAAATCTCTGTGCACTCTGAGGTCATGGACCTGCCGGCAATCACCCCGGTCACTCCGGTTGCTCCAGCGCTGGGGCAGGCCCTGGATTTCACTTGATTTTAGGTGGATTTTTTTGATGGATTCCAGGTGGATTCCAGGTGGTTTTTGGTACTCAACCAGTTGATTTGATTAGGTTTATCATTGTTTTTATTTGGTTTATCCATTGGTTTATCCATTGGTTTATCCATTGGTTTATCATAGATTTTGTATCAAACCATCCATGGGAAACCTCCATAGTCATCAGGAAGTCCCACAGAGCTGGAAGTCCCTTATCCCATAGAGTTATCCCACAAAAATAAATGGGTTATCGCTATGGCGATTAAAAGCATTACGAAGTGGGATGATCCTCCAAGTAGTAAACAACTATAACTATGGTTTATGGTACGCAAATAACTATAGTATTCATGGGGTTTTTGTTAACCAACGTTCACATCACTGGGGGGCCCCACATTGTAGTAAACAGGTTAATCTCAATGTACACCGAACTGAAAATGATCCTATTTCCTGATAGTCAACTAGCAGGGCGACTTATGATGGGATCATATGGGGATTTAACAAAAGGGGCTTTTCACTGGAAAACCATAGGAAAACCATAGGAAAATGGAGGTTTTCCCTCTGGTTATGTCAAAATAGCTATTGAAGCCATGGCCCAGTCGAAATAGTGAGTTTTCCCAGCTATAAAATGGGTGGATCTTTCCATAGTTATGTAAACGTTTACCAGAGGGTTAGTCCTCATGCTTCAAAGTTTCCTTTTTTTCAGCATGTTCTCAAAAGCTCAATATGCACAACTATGTCACAAAGAAATGTTTGGATATAAGCCACCGATCATTGGCATTTCTCGCCAATATCTTCTGGAAAAACATCAACCGCCCACAAGAACTGCAAACATAAGATGGACAAACATTGAACATTCTCTGCAAATGGATGGTAAACATTTTCTGGTTGGTGGTTTGGAACATTTTTGATTTTTCCGTATATTGGGAATAATCATCCCAACTGACGATTTTTTTCCAGAGAGGTTGAAACCACCAACCAGAATATAGTTATGCAATTTATGCATCCTAAACAAAGCTATTACTGCAGTTACGCAATCTCCATGAATATTTATGATTGACTATATCAATCCTTACTAGGGGTTGGTAAAGGCCTAATTCTTCACCTCACCCAACAAGGGGAAATTTCATCTCCAACCAATACTTTTTTGAAGTGCAACAATTCCAAAACCGGCCATTAACCAAGCCCTGTTCATTAGTTATGATATTGATCCCTATTACAGTTATACATATCATATATATATAATTATATATATATATTACATACATAGAGAGAGTCATAAATCCACCCAGATTATGATTTCAATCCCTGTTCATGAGTTATGCTGAGGTTTTCCCCGTTCACGATCAACGGCGCCAGGCTCGAAGCTCTCGGCTTCGCTCTGCTTTCTCCGAACGCCTACGACCTCGGCCGTCAGGCCATGGGGGTTTGTACCAGCACAACGGGGAGATCTAACATGGAAAATTGGGCAACATTTCTCCAATATGGACATCAGGCAATGGGGATCTGTTCTACTGGGGATATGTGAACATATTAGGATATAATATATACGGGGGATATGATGGGATCGAATGAATTGAATGGCAAATTGATTTGAACACATAATGGGTAATGTAATTGGATGTACCCTCTGGTTATTTAACATAGATCCTGAAAACGGCCAATTTTACTGGAAACGAATCTTCCGAGCCTTGATTCATGGCAGGGTCTATGTCAATTTGGGGGAGGGCAATTCGATTCAGATAGGTAGAACTGAATCATCTTTCATTCAGCTGTCCCACATTCTATATAATTCTAATGGGATTGCATCTAGATATTCAGAGATTTAGAATTACAAATTTCCATCTGGTTATTTAAGATAGCCATGGAAAGATCCACCATGATTAAGAACGGTAAACCATCTATTTCTATGGGCCATCTATACCATGGGATGGACATTGGGGGATCTACCCATCGGACTGGCAGTTTATGGCATATAGATACAGTGAATAAGGGCTTTAAACCAGCAAACGTAAACTGCGGGGCACTACCTTGTAACCGCCATCAAATAAGATGATTGAAGATAATCTGGGACAACATGTTTCTAACATGTTTTAACTATCAACAGTTGTGTTTAATCCTTATGCAATCCAATGATATAGGGTTCAACCAACCCACAGGGGAAGATAACCTACAAAAATGGGGGGGTGGTAAAAGGGCCATATTCAGTGTAATCCGAACATAGGATACAGCTAGGGTTGTCCGTCAGTGGATGTAAAGATTAATGGGAGGCCAACACTGAACATGCTATGAGTGTTTTTTAGTATCAGGGATCCCAGTAGTCCGCCTATTTTACCCTCTGGTAAACGTTTACATAACTATGGAGAATCGCCATTTTCAATGGGAAAATCCACTATAAATGGTCATTTTCAATAGCTATGTTAAATTACCAGAGGGTATTTATTTTTTCCGCCCTCAATTTATCAAATGCCCACATGACAATGCTGACTTTCCGATCATTTTTTTAAACATATTTCCGCTGGACAATTGGTTAAAGAACCAAAACGGAACGTCACCTACAAACGATTTTGCAGAATAAATGTATGCCAGATGTAAATGAATAGAATTCCAACAATCCGAGGTACTTGTATATGTATGAATATATCTTTATATATGTACATTATATATATTATACATCTATGTAAATGCGGATATCCAGTATATCCCAGGAAAAAATCTCATGTCTGTTGCTGAAAACCCTCCATTTCCAGGAAGGATATCGGCCAGTGGTGTCGGCCTTTGGCAAGCCGGCGCCCTCAGCGCGGCCTTGGCGGGTGTCCGGAAAGTCCGTGTCTCGCGCGGGCGGAGGTTGCGTGCCTTGGCGCGGGAGGAATGATTTGGGTATGGGTCAATACCTATAGATACATTTTTAGTGGGATGAACATCCATTTACCAGCTATTTTGGGGTTCACTAGGTACCAGGGTTTTGACCCATCCCCATTTATTGGGATCTGATTGGGATTTTATGTGGGACTGAATGGGACTTTTTTCGGGACTCCGGAAAACTAACATAGCTATGGAAAATTACCAATTGGTAGATCATTTGCCTATTATAAATGGTGATTTTCCATAGCAATGTTAAATTACCAGAGGGTAATGGGACTCAATCATGGGGATAATATGGGATAATATTTTATCATTTATTCGAATTAATGGGGATAACATGGGACTTAATGGTAGTATGGAATTTCACCAACAACAATAGGTGATAAATGGAGGATATAACCAAGAAAATGGTGGTTTTAATAGGGAGAATGATGGTTTTACATGCAAGAAAATCATTTTGATGGGATATTTCATGGGGATAATGAAATGGAGATATAACCATCCATAATGGATAAATGATGGTTTTACAGTGGTTTTTTTCCAACTAGAAAATGGGGGATTCATGGGAATTAGCCTCTGGTTATTTAAGAGTTTGCGAACTGGAAGCCATGGCCCATTTCTATATATGATTTATGATGATTTACCATTCTTAAGAATGCCGGCTTTCCATAGCTACGTTAAATTACCAGAGGGTAGGGGGATATTGACAACAAGAACAACATTGAATGGGGATAATTAATAGTGAATAGTTAGAATGGGGAGGAACTGGCAAAAGGGCATGAGATAAAGAAGATGGATGGCTATCGCTTATTAACCAGAAAAACTTATTTGCCAAAAGAACATGTTTACTGGGTATAATATCATCAACGAAATGGTTCCAACGTAAATAAGAGTAATGCAAAGATTTAAGGCTTCACACACCCACAGTGGTGTAGAACCAAAACATGTATTCCCAAAGTTGGCATGTAGGTACGGCATGGGTTTTAGAAGACATATATTGAGATTGTGCAGCTTGGTGAGAAACAGGTGGGCCAAAAAAACTCCTTACCCTCAGGAACATATTGTTTGCTGGAAAATCCTCCATTTACTTTGAGGATTTCCCCGTTTATAGATGTTTTTCCCAGCTATCTAAGCCTCCATTGATAGATGATTTCCCATCTATTCCCAGATTTTCTGTAAAGTTGGAATTTTCAAGCCATTTTTGGTCGGGATTCAGCCATGTTTGTTGACACCAGAGGGTGCGTAGCTCTGCCAGGGCACCTGTGATCTGCCTCAGGTGCTCAAAGACAAGTGTTGAAGGTGCAGAGATTGGTCGACCAATCAAACCTATGAGATGCCGGGGTTCTTAAAATGAGGATTCCCCAAGTCACAGTTTCAGTACTAAAATGGTCTGGTATATAATTTTGGATGATTTGGGGGTATCATAGGTTTTTGGATGAACATTCATATACCTGCTGTTTTTCAGACATGTTTTAAACTATGCAGCGGTGAAAAGAGAGGGTTTCGGAGCTATGCTTTCAGAGATATTGCCAATATAAAATGGGGAGCCACTGACGGTTTTCCACGCCAGTGGAAAACTCACCTGGGGCGGGTAGTGGAGAACCTCCAAAAAGATGAAAACGTAAAATCCTAGTAGAATAATTGAGTAAAATTACCCTGGTAATTTGTTACATAGCTATTGAAAATGGCCATAGAAATAGTGGATTTACCCATTGAAAATGGTGATTTTCCATAGTTATGTTAGTTTACCAGAGGGTATCCTTTTCTGGTTTGTATCAGAAGAGTCAGAAGCTGTTGAGCTGCAGTTGGTCAGGCAGTGAGCCTTGATGAGGGAGTTGAGGCTGGGGGTTTCAACGATTTCGTAAAGCTCGGTTTTACACCAGTACCCCCCCTGGTAAACAATTATGGGGTTGTCTGAAAATAGGCTACCCATGGCTGCCGGAGAATGATCATGTTCATTCAAATTTTTCTCTCATTCGCAAGATGGACATTTATGGGTTATTCACCACTATTAACCATACATATTATATAATATCCATATATGTCTATTAGATGTCTATTGGATGTATATTGGATGTATATTAGATGTATATTATACGGTACTATACATACCACATCTTCAGACACACCCTTAAATCGTGCCATGGAAACTCCCCGTAACGATCGCCTCGCACGGAGCAAGTTTGATCTCAATTCGTGGGGTATCCCATGTATAAATAGGTGAACTATCTATGATTAACCACTGATCCCTTTTTTGTGATCCTCTAAGTATGGAACAGTGGACATAAACTGTCATTCAAACACAGCTATCCAACATGGTTGTTTTGTTCCAAGCACTTGTTTTCTCCACGGGATGAAATTCTGCAGGTGGCGGCTGCAAAGGTGCTATGGGCAGTTGTCAGCCGTCAGCTGGGTTTTGTCTCAGAATTTTTGCTTCAAGAAGCAATTGAGCAGTGTTCGAAACCCCTGTTGCTTGATGATTGTAGGAGATTATACTATCCAGTTTTTGTTGGGGATTGATTACCCTCTGGCTATTTAACATAGCCATGGGAAATGGTCCATTTATAGATGGTTTACCGTTCGTAAAAATGGGTGGATCTTTCCATGGCTATGTAACAAATAACCAGATGGTATACTATCCAGTATATTGGGGATTATCACTATATATCCGTTATGGGAATCCCGTTCTTAACCAACCAATGAAACGAGAGAGGCAAAAGTAGCACTGCTAAATGTATCTGGCTCTCTGATGAGGAAAATGATGGTAAAGCATTAGCCATGGCGTTTTGGTGTTCCGAATTTGGAAACCACAAAAAATCGTAGTTGGAGCTCCTTGTAATCTGATATATGCTTCCTCATTGAAATGATGGTAAATGCGGGGGTTTAGATCCCATTTATCACTATTCTATGGTATATTTAGAATATTTTGAAATCCAATATATAAGTTATATCATGTTATATACCCATAATATTATGTTATAATAATTATATTATATTATGGGAAGATTAATTATAGAATAATGTATTGTTATATTGATATTCATATATCTTATTATAATTTGGAAGATTAACTTGTTAGAATAATGTTATTCCCACAATCTTCCAATCTATTCTTCAGGTGCACAGCAGATGGTTTTTCCCGCCAGGTAGACGCCCTGAAGTCCTTGATCTCCAAGGTCCTTGAGGCGTTGAAACCTACCACTTGGCCGTATAGTAGATATGTATACATGTATAAAACTGGAGATATCCTATACACTATATATATATACATACACTATATACTATATAAATACTATACATATATATATATATGTGCAGTATAATATAATATATTTATGATATATATATAAAAATACATATGTACACATGTATTAATTGGATTGGGTTTTTTCCAACCAATCCTTAAAAGGGGGGCAAAAAATCCATCCCTGAAAAATCCGTGGATTCCATGGGGCCAGAGGTGAAGTCTATGCCTCAACAGTTGGAGCCTTTCCTTCGAGTTCTTCAGGCGCGCGCGAACCATGTGCGAACCATGGTCGTTTGAGTTGGATTGAAGCGACCAAAATGGTGGTTTACTGGGATATTTATAGAGATATACATATGTATATGCATATATATATATATTATATATATATCCTATGTACAGTATATATATATATGTATGTATATATATATATATACATACATACAACCGACTATAGTCAAGAGGTGAATTGGATCACACCAGTTTTCTGTTATGGTCATCAATCTATTAAAAGGGATTTGCATAGCCGTTATCTTTGGATTCCCATTATGCGATGGATGACCATGACCCACAAACCATGTGCTGACCGTGGCACCCCTGGGAATGATGAAGTGTGGACATGTTGTCAAACTTCCGGAAACCAACACCTCTAAGACTCAAAGACAATTCCAACAGATGATACAGATGCATAGAGCATAGGCACCCTTAAAGGTGGTTTATGAAAGCAACCCAAATCATTTGGGATCTTGAGACTTACTTCAGCAAACACCAAGGCTAGCGGATACGACATCTTAGACAAGGATGAATGGAGGAAGGCTGGAACAGACTGGGCTCAAAAGCCTGGCACTTTGTGCACAGCAAAATTGACGGAGTGGAGCTTCATCACCCGAAAATATGGTATTTCATAGGTTTTGATCCCCAGAAACAGTAAACAGAAACAGTAGATACTGCAGATCTTCAAATCTACCCTCTGGTAAACTAACACAACTATGGAAAATCCCCGTTTTCAATGGGAAAACTCACTATTTCGACTGGGCCATGTTCAATAGCTATGTTGTATGTTTACCAGGCCGGGTACAGTGCCTGGAAACTTGACCAACCGCCTGATGGGCAGATTGGGGGCGACCTTCACCCTTTCCTCCTGCCGGTGGTCCGATTGCCAAGAACCTGGGCTGTTTCCTGAAAAACTTAAGGTGAAAATAGCTGCAATTTCACCAGGGATTATGGTAGATAGATCTATGATGTATATATCTATAGTTACTAGGCTTATAAATCAATTCATGACTGTGGGGGGCACAAAATCATAGTTTCTTTTGCCCTTTGGACCAACTGTTGGGTGTTTTTTGTGTGTCCAACCAAACTACCTCTGGGGTTTACCAAATGAAGGCGGTTCCAACATTGACCAAGGCGACGAAAGGGACTTTTGATGATGATTTGGAGGCTGGTGAAGTGAGTGAACCGGGCTTTAAGGGATGATTTTTACCATCGGTTTTTTCATAGCCAGCCATAGAGGACCGGAGAGTTGGAGCAGGTGACTTTTCAGCCTCTGGTTGTTTAGCCATGGAAAGATCCACCATTTTTGAGAACGGCAAACCATCTATTTCGATTAGGGCCATGGCTTAACCATGGCGAACTGTTAGTCATAACCAGAGGGTATTGATTTTTTAGCTGGTTTTTGAACCATTTGAAGATTTGTATGATGAAACATAGCCATCTTGATAATGATGATGATGGTGGTGATGATGATGATGATTACATGACAGCAACCATCAAGATCAGGTTATGTTAGTTTCCCTTTTGGTTTCCTTTGGTCATCATTATTGATTGAGATGAAACCATCCCGATTTACAATGAATGTTTGAGAACGAAACGGTGAAACGGACAGTGAGTCATAGCTAAATCAACTAAATCCTATATCATAGTTATATAAGTTATATAAATGCTTACTTAGAGTGATGGTGCATAAATTCGATTTATATAACTATGATATAGGATTTCTCCATCATTTATATAACTATGATGTTCCATAGATTCAGAAAAAGGAAGAATTCGATTTCTCCACCATTTATCACAACCAGTATATACTTCTATCACCATTTTTGATGACCCATTAAGCCACTTCGAAACCAACTGGTGCCATAGCCCCCAGTTTTCCAGTAAAAGCCACCTAAAACCCTAGTAGGTTATTGACTATGGTGATTAACTATGGTGATTAACTATGTTAAATCAGTATAGTCTATGGCCATTTTCAATAGCTATGTAACATTATGTAACAAATTACCAGAGGGTAAAGCCCCCATTTTTCCATGCTACGACGGTCTTTTCAGGTCCTTGCCCTTCTGATCCGCGCGCCAAATGGCAAACAGCTGAGACCCGACGAGTGGCAGGCGCCTTTTATCCCAACCGGTTCCGGCGAAGGCCACGGTGGAAAACGTTGGAAATTCAATGGAAATACATGGAATTTCACCTGAAATATGGCTATTTTATGGGAAATATATGGACATATATGGAAATATATGGAAATAGATTGCTATATTTGATGTTTCAATTGGTGGGAAATCTAAAGGAAACCATGGATATTCCCCTGAAAAAATCGGGGTTTCCTGTGCATTTTCCAACCAATCCATTGAGAAATCACTGGGGGGTTTAGCCATGGGGTTGGCCCAGCTGGATGACTGGGGCTCCCCGGATTTTAGGAAACCTCCACATATGGAAAACATCGTTGGAAAACAGATTTTGTAAGACAAGTAACATATTTGGAAAACATATCAGAAGTGGGAAAATACTGAGTATTTTAAAAATAATTGGGATATGTATATATATATACATACATACATACATACATAGCCGATATATCGGAAAGGAAAATGACTGAGTTTTCCAGGAACACCAACATACTGGAAAACATACTGATAGAAAAATTGGAAACAACACATGAAATGACACTGGAACTTAGATCAACTACAGTAACTTTCCCATTGGAAGACAACCATCTCCTGATGGGGATCAAGCCTTGAAAAAAAAGGCCGACATCGTGCCGCTAGGTCGTGACACAGCAGCCGCGCAAGACCAAAGTGGTATGGAACGCAGACCATTTTTGAGTTGGCTTTTCCCAAGAGCAGATGGATGATACAGTCTGCAGAAATGGCCTGTAACAGCCATAATTTCAGCCTCATGGCTTTGTTTCATAAAAAAGAGGGTTTAGGGTACCATGAAAAATGCTTTCCCATCATGTTTCAGCCATTTGTTTATACCAAGAAAATGTGGAGCATGTAAAAACAGATGGGAATAACATGGAATAACCCATCTATCTAAAGATTCTTGTTCTCCATATTCCGAACCCATCTATGTTAAAGACACTCAAGAGCGAGGTGAAGCTGATGGCGGATGATATTTCGAGGTATCGACCCCGACATGGACATGGAAAAATGCTGCGGTTCTCCATAGCCATTTTCATTGGAAAAAATGAGGTTTCAGTCCATGGGATTTTCCACCTTCAAAAACCATGGGATTTTTCCATTTTTTTTGTGTCGAAATCCAGGAAGATCCCATGGTTTTCATGAAAATCTACTATGGGATCTTGAGGTCGAAATCGGACTCTCCATTTTCTTCACTTTTTCGGAAGCGCGAAAGGGATGATTTGTGACCATGATTGTTCGCAAGATCCCAAATGACAGGGTATTCACTGACAATTGATGGGAAAGTGAAGGAACGTGAATTTGACCAGTTTGCCGCCTTTCCTTTGAATTGTCCTGGCTGGAATGGGCTTCTCCAGGTTACACTCTAAATTGCCAATTGGAAGGAAGATGATATTCGTATCATTCTGACCTATGGGATTTTGTTGATGGATTTGGGGCTCCAAATTTCGAGAGAATTTCGCAGGACCCCCCCTTATTTCTTGGAGAATGTCTTACGGCTTACGTTTCTTTCCGCTTTCGAGTGTTCTCCCGAGCCCTGGAATCATGATTAGTAATGGAAATCATCCCAATATAGCCTTATTTCAGGTTAGTGAGTCATTGCAATTTATATACCCGGATCCCATCGAAAAAGGTACATCGTGAAGCGAGCCGAAGAAGCTACCTTCCGGAAGGAGAAGCAGGCGGCGGGACAGCTTGAGATCGGGACAGCTCCTTGTGAAATTCAATCGGTTTTCTGTTTTCTGGGGAAAACACATGAATAAATCCATCAATTTACTGTAATTTACCATATAACACCATTATATTATATTGTATATTCACATCTTACTTTAAAATACATTTACTTTGGGGTCACCAAAAGTGGACTACTTATATTGTATTATAGTATTTTGCCTGTTATCTCATATTCACACACATATATATATATCATATAAATATAGTTACCACATAGTATATCTACTAATACATTTCATATATCTTACAGTACGAACAGCAGTCAACTTTTGGCCGGGCAGCAACTTCAACTGCGGCACCAGGATATGCCCATCATCGAAGCCACCAAAGACCTGTGCCCCGACGATCCAACGATCGAAGTCGTCATCCAAGGATTCATGGGATGGGATTCAACGAAGAGTTTGCACTGGGATTATAGTAGTATAACCATAGGAAAACCATAGGAAAATGGAAGTTTACCCTCTGGTAAACACACAAAAGACTATGGAAAGATCCACCATTTTATAGCTGGGTAAATCAATGATTTCTATGGCCATTTTCAATAGCTTAAACTGTATGTTTACCAGAGGGTAACAATTTGCTACAGGAAATACTGTGGATGGGCCAGCGAAATCCGAATCACCAGTTGATAGGTGGTAAACATCCCATTATTTTGGATGGGTTTCAACCATCCTTTTGGTGGCGCAGGATTTCGCTGGCCCATCCACCGTATCACCATTTTGTTTGGTGGGTAAATCAACAACTATGAAGCCCAGTAAATCTTCGGATGATCGTGGTATTTTTTCGCATCCTTTTTAGCATCCAAAAGCCATAAATCCATATATATATAAATCCCATGAATCTCAGTGAGGATATTCCATTCATCGAACTGGGCGGAGGTTTTTTTCCCATGTACTATAAGTGCCCGCAGCCCCAAGATGGGATGAGATATCGCCAGGTATGTTTCCAATCATACAGGATGGGGCCCCCAGTCGAAATCGCGTTTAGTTGCCTTAGAAATCTTAGAAAAGTGATTTAACATTATTTAACCATGGTTTATGGTAGATATAACGAACTAGTATTCATGGGGTCTTTATTCACTCATTCAATTCACTGGAGGGCTTGGCCAAAGCTGTAGAAATGGGATGATTTCGATGATTTACCGAGGATTTTCATGATGTTCCATAGCAAACAGAGGCTAAAACCCAGCGACTGATCTTGAATCATCTTAAATCACAATGATCATTTGGTTGAATGGATAGTCAAATAGTCCATTGGGATATTCAGATGATTTAAGAATTAATAGATCTTGAAGATAGAAGATCATCACCTTGCCAATATATGTATCATACTATACTATAATATAATATAATATACTTTATATAGAGTATTATATAGTATATCTCTCCCATTCTTCTCCCATTCTCATCCCTTTCGTGCCGCCTTGCGCGTGCCGCCTTGCGGCGCGCCCAGCTTCGCGCAGGTATGAGGTGCGTTTCCAGGGGCAGGACCAAACTGCCTTGGACAAGTGGTTGCTCCTAGAGGCCGATCCTATGAAAAATGCTGATTTTTCAGGATGTTCATGGATTTTTTCATCTACTTGAAAGTAAACATGATTTTAAATGAGGATCTATTGTTGAATTTTAAGTTAGTTCATAATTGGGATGTCAAAGGTCAAGGCCGGATTTTGCAAAACCTGAACCACAACTATGGAATAATGGAGATATCATGGATTAATGGGATGTACAAGGAACATCAATGAACATCAATTTGGGGAGAAACTGAACAAATCTTTTGGGCGAAACCGTTAAACCATGTTTTTTTTCTGGTAACTAATTTGAGATTCAATCATGGAAAATCAGGACATTACAAACATGAGGGGTTAAGTATCAAACATGATCCCACATGAGTGTGTCTGAAAACGGGGTATACCACCAAATTCATGGCAATTTTAATAGGGGAAAAATTATCGGATTACGCATCAACGGTGTTTTCATCCCCTGGAATTTTCAGGTACCAAACCCAAATAAAGAGGGTGACCAGTGCAATTTGGGGGAAGCCATCAAGGAGAAAGCATATCTCCATTTTTTCCATGGTAAATCTCATTTCATGGTGAATTCCTCCAATAAATCCATTTTTCTCCATTTTTATCCATCGATTCCTCATATAAATGGCTCGTTTCAAATCAGGTGGGAGCTTTTCCGGACGTCTACAAAAACCTGGTCGAGAGCCGAGGGTTAGCGGATCCTAGAGGATCAAAACGCCAGCTTTTGTGGGGTTCATTTGGCATTTTACCGAAATTTCACCAGCTTCCCCTCCAAATGTATCTAGCTCAGGAAGAGTTGGCTGTGATCGCCACTTATTTGCCCATTTTGCATGTTCTTCATCTCACAATGTTCTTCACCAGCGCCAAACAGATGCAGAATTTGAGGCCCAGCAATCAGCTCCGAATCCGGGAAAATCCACCATGATTTTGTTCAATGGAGATTTTCCCAGCAGGATGATGTTCTTGAACGAAACCTCCATGGATTTCAATGATTTCCCCATCTTTTCCCATCTTTTCGGATCATTTTCTCAGATGTTCCCATGTAAACTTGGGATTTCTGAGCCATCTTCCCGTGATTTTCCCATGATTTCCCCATCTCCCATGTCAGACACCTTGGGAGTCTGCACTGCTGCACGGCCGAGGCCATGGAACACATCACCAGTGGCGATGCCATGTGGGGCATCACAGGAAACACCCTTTTTTGGGACATAAAAATGATCTGGTTGGCGGGTATAATGATAATGGTTACCCACCATTTTTAGGGAAAACCATAGGAAAACCATAGGAAAATGGAGGTTTACCCTCTGGTTATGTCAAAATAGCTATTGAAAATGGCACATTTATAGTTGATTTACCCATTAAAAATGGTGGTTTTCCATAGCTGGTTACCCACCATTACTATCATGGTATAATGATTTACTATCCATGGTATAATGATAGTTGTCAATTGCACTCCATGCATTGCACTTGGGATCATGTTTTCCTGTCAGGTCTGCCGACCACATTTCTTTTCAGGACTGATGTCCGCAATTTACCTCTCAAGAATGGGAGGGACTTTCGACCAGCCCTTAGGCTACGCTAAGGAAAAGTGCTTCGTTTGCACTTGCTTCGCCGTGCTGTGAACTTCGAGTGTCTCAGCTCAACTGGTTGTCCAGTTTATACTGGTCAGCGGAGCTTTGTTTCAATCCCCACTGCGCACTCCACTTCAACTTGAACATTCCACTGAACCACCACTACCATTGCCAGATCTTCCTGCTCTATTCAACGTTCTTGACTTCCGAGATTAAGCTGTTCTTTTGCACTGTGCTCTCTGACGAGCTCTTTGACCTTGACGAGCTCTTTGAACCTTGCACTGTGCTCCTTGGCGAGATCTTTGTCCTTGCTGAGCCCTTCACTGGTTTTGACCTGCACTGGCAGTATCTCTTCGAGCTTGTGCCATCTGCGCCTTGCCTCTTGAACTATGTCGAGCTCAGGTTCAACCACGCTGGACTCCAACTTCACGAAGGACTCCTTCATTCCGATGTTTGATGGATCTCCCAGCTCTTACCAGGAGTGGAGAAAACGTATCCACATCTACCACCTGAAGATGAAGTTGCAGAAGAGAGCTGTGGAGTCCGTGCTCAACATCATCGGATCTTTGCAGGGCACAGCTTGGAAGCTTGTTGAAAGCTTTGATGTGACCAAGATCGATGAGGCTTCATCCTTTGACGCTGTGATTGCATTGCTGGACGGTGCATTTCAGTATGACAATCGAGTCCGTATGCCTCAGGACTTTGACAATTACTTCAACCTGACCCGCAAACCTGGAACCTCGCTCCTCTCCTACTGCACGGAGCACGATGAGAAGTATCGCAAAGTCGCTGAGCATGGAGTCAAACTTCCTGATCAGATACAAGGCTGGCTGCTGCTGAGAAGAGCCAACCTTACAAAGGAACAATACCAATTGGTGTTGTCTCAGGCTCCGAAGCTTGAGAAACTTCGTGTCCAAGAAGCCTTGTTCATCATCCTCGGGCAAGATCATCGATCTGCTGTGAACCGAGATGATCGACGACCTGGTGCTGGCCGCTTCTTCAGAAATAAGGCCTTTGCAGCCCAGGATGATGAGACCTACGATGACACAGATGCCTATGATGATGGCTACTACGAGTACGATGATGGCTATGCAGCTACTGAGTACGAGGCTTTTGATGAAAGTTGGACCGAAGACTACTTTGACTCCAATGCTGCGTGCTATGAAGGTGAGGGGAACTACAACGCTGACGATGCAGAGACCCTTGCCGAGTTTGACGTTGACACCTATGATGAAGCATATGCTGCATACCTTGATGCATACCTTGATGTTCAGGACCCTTTGAGCGCTACATTGCCCACCTGAAAGACCTTGGCTTCCCCACTGAGACCATTGAGATGCGACGCACTTCCAGAACTTTTCATTTCGGTGGTGACCATTCCACCACGAGCCATTGGGTTGCCAGAGTTCCAATCTTTGTCAACAACAACTTTGGATTTTGCCAGGCCTTCATCATCAAGGGTGAGACACCAATGCTGATGGGAAGACCCATCATCGAAGCCCTTGGCATCATCATCGACTTCAAGAACCAAAGAATGATGTTTGAAGGCTGCCCCTGGCGACCAATAACGCTTGGCAGACATGGTGAATACCTTCTTTCTCTGACGGAGGACTTTGAGACTGAACTTGCAGACCAGGTCCCCTACTTTGACCTCAAGCTCAACGAGCCGACAATGGACCCACCAATGGGAGATGCTGTGGACCTGACCGTCTACGAGAAGGAAGAAGGTGCCATGACTGCAGGCGAGCACTCTGCTCCACCTGAACCTGGCTCTCGAGCCGTCTTGAACAAGCACTGGAAGATGTTTGAGAATGCCATGACCTCTGAGGAAAATCGAGTCAATGCTTGCATCACCAAGGAACTCCATCAAAGCCAACCTCGACCACGAATCGTTTGGGAAGTCTATGCAGGTGCGTCTCGCACTTCACAACTGGCTGAAGCTCTTGGCTGTGATGTTCAGGTCTTTGGATATGACACCGGCTGGGACTTTGACATTGCCAGTCACAGAACTGCTTTTCTACAACTCATGGATGAAGTGCTTCCCGACGAAGTGTTCCTGGCTCCTCGATGTGGACTCTGGAGTCGTATGCAAGCGATCAATGCCACCACTGATGAGAAGAAGGAGTTGCTGACCCAACAACGACAGCTCCATCATGACTGCCATCTTCGGTTTTGCCGCAAGATCTACCTGAAGCAGCTGAATGAGGGCCGACATGCCCACCTTGAACAACCAGATGGCGCCTTGTCTTGGCACACCAAGGCCCTGGCGACCTTGCCTGGCCTCTATGCCATCTTTGACCAATGCCGATACGGCGCATGCTGCCTTGACCATGATGGTGTTTGGCGCCCTGTTCGCAAAACCACTGGACTTCTGACAACCAAGTCTGCAATGTCACAAGCCATGAACCTTCGATGTGAAGGAGATCACTACCACTGCAAGCTGGAGGGAACCTTCCCTGGCACCGGGCGCTCAAGAACCAGCTATATGGAGGACTACCAGCCTGCGCTCTCAGCTGTCCTTGCGTCAGCCCTTGCAGTTCCTGAAGTTCCTCATTGCTGGGAAGATGTGAACGCTGTGGATGAAGTCAAAGCTGTCCAAGGCAAATTGATTCAACTGATGACAGAAAACCATGGTGAAGCTGTGCGGACTGTGCAGCGTCTTCACCGTAACCTTGGACATCCTTCACCGACTTCACTGGTTGAGATGCTTGAATCCAGAGGTGCTTCTGAAGCTGTTCTTGCTGTTGCCAGAACATTCCAGTGCCACTCTTGCCTTAGATATCGAAAACCCAACCAAGTGGCACCTGCATCCTCGAAGGTGATTTGCAAGTTCAACCAAAGTGTTCAAGCCGATGTTTTTTGGCTGAAAACCGGTGACAACAAGATTCCAATTCTTTCCATGGTTGATGAGGGCACCAAGTTTCAAGCTGCCCAAGTTGTGAACAGCGAGAAAGCCGAGGACTACATCTTGGCCCTTGAGCGATGTTGGATCTCTCACTTTGGTCCCATGACCAGACTGGTCACAGATGAAGGTCGTGGATGGCTTGGCCGTGAATTTGAGGCCTGGACTGATGAGCATTCATTTCATCATGTTGTTGCTGCTGGAGAGGCACATGAACAACTGTCCTTAGTTGAAAGAAGGCACTCAGTTTTGAGGAAAGCACTGGAGATCTACTTGGTAGACTTTGGAATGACTGGTGCCACTGCTGTGCGACAAGCCCTGAGCTACGTGGTGCCTCAGCTCAACAACTCACCATCCACTTCTGGCTTTTCACCTGCTCAATGGGTACTTGGCCAATCTCCTGATTTTCCTGGCGAGCTTCTTGGATCTTCTTTGACCCCAGTACACCTTGGAGGTACCTTTGAAGACGAGCTCTCCAGGCGAGCCACTGCAAAGATGGCCATTGTCCAAGCAGATGTGGACCAAAAGCTTCGACGCGCACTGCTGCGCAAATACGCTGGCAACAACATTGCACTCAACCCTGGACAGAAGTGTTTCTTCTGGCGAGACAGCCGCAATGCTGACTTGGTGAAAATCCGATGGAAAGGGCCTGCCACCATCCTCATGAGAGGAGAAGATGATGATGGTCGAGCGAAAGTTTACTGGCTGGCCTACAAATCTCAACTTCTTCGAGCTGCTCCTCACCATGTTCGACCTGAGATTGGCAAGTCTTCTGAGCCTCTGGCTGACAACTTCCAGACTGCCAAGGACGTGGTGCAGCAACTCAGATCTCGAGGTGTCACTCGCTACTTGGATCTCAACGTCCTCAACAAGAGACGCTTGGAAGATGTGGGCACTGATGAAGAGGTTCTTGATGACGGCAATTCAGATCTTGAACAACCTGCTCACCGCCGTCGTTTGCTTGACTCAACCCTGATCGAAAGACCTCCAATTGCTGACGAGGAGTACTCACCCTCCATCCTCCAAGAAGATGAGGACCTTGACACCCCTGATCTTGGACTTTCAGATCAACAAGGTCCGCCTCCTGGATTTGAGGCTTCATCTGCTCCACTTGGACTTTCGGAGCCGGCACAACCTGGATTTGTTGATGCCGATGGAACTGCTCTCCAAGTTCCAATTCCTGAGCTGTCAGCAGACATTCCGATCAGCAGTGGAGAACCTTCTCAAGAACCAAGTCCCACACACATGGACACTGAGATTTCCAACCAACACCCTATGACACCGAGCAATTTGCCCAGACCAGCGATTGAACAAGATCTACTACACCAACCACCTTCTCTACTGACAACTTCTTCAATCCAGCAGAGTCAGATTCCAACTCCACAACCTACTACATCACAATCAACTCTACCAGAAACACATCAACCTTCCTTGCCACCACCTGCACAAGTTCCACAACTTGATCCAATCACTGCATCACTCTATCAACCTGCAACAGATGAAGACTTCAGAAGTCATCGACGTCGCCTTGCGCAACAAGAAACAATGTCTTTTGGACCATTTCGTCGACGACGTGAACAGCAACAACCAACAGGTGAGCATGGTTCCACACCATATGCTGAACCACCATCCAATGAGTCTGCCAACAACTTGGAAGACAGCCCTTTTGCCTTTGAGATTGAAGACATGGAGATCAATGCCTTACCACCTGGATGGAAGCTCGAGAATGGCTACATCACTTTGGATGACAAGACCCGTGACCACTGGGAACTTCGAGCTGGATGTCTCATTCGACATCATTCCATTCCACGACGAGCTCTTTTTGATCCTCGATCTCTTTCTGCCCGCGACTTGCAACACTTGCCGGTGCCTTTGGATTGCCTAGATCCTGTGAGAGTCACGGTATGCAAGTCGGACGATGGCATCAACCACTACTCCGACAAGATTTCAGATGGGCATGGCAAGCTGTCCAACAAGCCTTGGACTGGATGCACAGTCTTCCAACTCAACGGCAAGACTCGACATGAACTTGGATGCCACGCTTACTCAGCAATGACTGCCAAGCAAGTTGGCAAGAAGGCCAAAGTTCATGCTCAACGACAAGTTCGCAAAGCTCAGCCGAAGAATGAGATCAGCGAGAAAAAGCTGACTTTGGAAGACCGTTTGCTGTTCCACCAGGCCAAAGTCAAAGAACTCAAGTCGTTTTTCGACAATGGAGTGTGGTCTTTTCAAACCACCAAAGAAGCGATTCCAAGCCGCACTATGTCCAGCAGAATGCTCCTTAAATGGTCAAAGAATGCAGATGGTACACCTCGTGCCAAAGCCCGATTGGTTGTCAGAGGTTACACTGATGCCGATGCTCTTGAGGGCAAGCTGGACACTGCATCACCTGCGAGCACTCGCCTTGGAAGATCTGTGCTCCTCAGCATCTCTGCATGCTGTGGCTGGTGCGGTTGGAGCGCTGATGTTTCAACAGCCTTTCTTCAAGGCCTACCACAAGAACGCCAACTTTGGGTTCGTTTACCAGCTGATGCCAACCGGATACTTGGGGGTGACGAAAACACCCGGATGTACCTACACAAACCGGTCTATGGCCAACTTGATGCACCCAAGCGCTGGTTTCTTGAAGCCACCAGGCGACTTCGCAATGGTGGATGGATTGCACATCCCATGGACCCTTGTTTTTGGCGACTTTATGAACCAGCAGTTGAAGGCTCTGAACCCGTTTTATGTGGCCTCCTGGTGCTCCATGTTGATGATATGCTGGGATGTGGAAACCCCAACTCTGAGACTTACCAGAAGGCCGAAGCAGAGCTCAAGCAGTCCTTCAACTTCAGAACTTGGCAGAAGGATGAGCCCTTCGAATACTGCGGTGCCCATATGACACGTGATGATGATGGCACCTGGCATGTGAGCCATGACCAATACCTGAAAAAGATCATGCCTTTGAACTTTGAGAAGGGACGTCAAAGCCACCAACCTTTCAGCGAGAAAGAGCAGACAGCTCTTCGTGGTCTTCTTGGAAGTTTGCAATGGCCTGCGGTACAATCATCACCACACATACAGGCGAGCACCTCCTTGCTGAGTGGTGAGATGAGCACTGGACTTTCATCAGCTTTGATCGAGGCCAACAGGCTTCTTCGTTTTTGTAAGGCCAACAGAGTGATGTCCACTTGAAGTTTCCTCCGTTGGGCCCACTTCCTGAACTTCGTTTGACATGCATGTTTGATGCTGCCCTGGGAGTTCGACACGACGGATCGAGTCAAGGTGGGTACATCATAATGTTGACCCACAAATCAGCTTTTGAAGGTGCTGAAGTGCCTTACCACGTGCTGGACTGGCGATCTTTCAGACTGCCACGGGTGTGCCGCTCAAGCCTCTCTGCAGAAGTTCAATCAGCTGCACAGGCCATCGACAGCACAGAATTTGTGATTCGTTTTTGGCATATGGTTTTGAATCCAAATGCGACTCTTCGACAGACCTTGGATGTATCGAAACCAACCTTGAGCCCCACCTTCATCACGGATGCCAAAGCCCTGTATGATAGCTACCACAGAGACGCAATAAACCATGGGGCTACAGACAAAAGAACCAATTTGGAACTTCGTGTCATCCGAGAACAAGTCGAAGGAGTTGGTGGAGTTTTGAAATGGATTTCTTCAGAACGCCAGTTTGGCGATGGATTCACAAAAATGGCTGCCCGGCAATTATTGGCCGACCGTTTGCGACATGGTTCCATCAAGTTCACTTGGGACCCTGAGTACCAAGCTAGCAAGAAAAAGACAGCTGCAGAACGTGAGAAAAGCAGGAATGAATTCACCACAACAACCACAAAAATCACACACAACCACCACAAACCACATACAACCGAGCAGGAAGATGCACATGATGATGAGGCTCCAGCTACCAATGATGATGAGAACATGACTGTGGAGTCCTATGTGACTGATCCCAACCTAACTTTTGAGAATGCCCAGCTCTCTGCAGATGTCGACGTGACACCGAATGTCCAGACCCCGGAAGATGTGCGCTTCATGGAAGAGATCTATGACATTGAAACCAATGCAGCCCATGGCGAGCCCTTTGTTTTACCGAATAACCAGGTCCCTGTAGAGGCCTACTCCTTGAGCCATGGCGGCGCTGGTGCTATGCTGAAGTATGTCTTCATGGCCACTGCGTTTTGCACTGCTGAATCCGTTAAACTGGAGGTCCAAGACCAATGCAGTGCCGATGATGCGCCACTGACTGCGACAGCACAATCAATTTGGGTTTCAATGCTGATAGTTTTGCTGGCCTTTCTTCTGGGTCTTTTGTTTCACTACGTGGTCTCCAAACAGTTGAAGGAGGAAGTGAGATCTCTTAGAGATGCCAACGCCCAACTGCTTCGAGGCCAAACCAATATGGAGCTCACCAACCGCCAGTTGAACGCAGAAAACCGGCGATTGAGAAGCACCTTGATTGACCGTGAGTTGGTCATTGACAACAACCAAGAGTTGCGAGAACAAGAACGACAAGATGATCGAAACACCATACGACGTGCCAGCGGTATCCTTGACCGCGCCTTGACTGAGACTTGGAACTTGAACCAGTTCCAGCTGTGTTTTGCCACGACTGGCAGATGCTGGCATGCAGACGCCAACTGTGCCGGTCTGGTGAATGCAAATCGCGTTGAGATGCGAGACGCTTGCACCTTTTGTTTGAGTCACTGCCTTCCACCATGGATTCCTGACCAGACTTTTGGCACTACTTTGAAAGAAGAGATTGAGAGATTCTGGCAAGATCATGGAAGAGTAAACTATGTGGATTCGATCATTCACTGAGAGCCGGGCATAGCTTTCCCCTGTGTCAATTGCACTCCATGCATTGCACTTGGGATCATGTTTTCCTGTCAGGTCTGCCGACCACATTTCTTTTCAGGACTGATGTCCGCAATTTACCTCTCAAGAATGGGAGGGACTTTCGACCAGCCCTTAGGCTACGCTAAGGAAAAGTGCTTCGTTTGCACTTGCTTCGCCGTGCTGTGAACTTCGAGTGTCTCAGCTCAACTGGTTGTCCAGTTTATAATAGTAATGGTTACCCACCATTATTATCCTATCATGGTATTTACTATCAGATAATGATAGTAATGATCTGGTATAATGATAGGATAATAATGGTATGATTGAATCCCATTATACCTATATCTGGTTGGTGGTGACTGGAACCATGGAATTTTGAATGACTTTCCATATATTGGGAATGTCATCATCCCAACTGACGAACTCATATTTTTCAGAGGGGTAGGTCAACCACCAACCAGTGATAGTAATTACAGTTTTTGGTATAATGATAGGTATAATGATAGTAATCTATCCAAAACTGTAATTATTGATAATAATGCTAGGTACATATGATAGTAATCTATCCAAAAACTGTAATTATTGATAATAATGATACAGTAGGTACATATGATAGTAATCTATCCAAAAACTGTAATTATTGACAATAATGATAGGTATAATGATAGTAATCTGTCCAAAAACTGTAATTATTGATAATAATGATAGGTATAATGATAGTAATCTATCCAACAACTGTAATTATTGATAATAATGATAGGTAAAATGATAGTAATCTACAAAACTGCAATTATTGATAATAATGATAGGTATAATGACAGCAATCTATCCAACAATTTTTGATAATAATGATAGGTATAATGATAGTAATCTATCCAAAAACTGTAAATATTGATAATAATGATAGGTACATATGATAGTAATCTATTAATAGGATAGGTATAATGATAGTAATTACATAGAAATGATAGAAATTACAGTCATATGAATAGATGAATTACCATCGCTTGGTGATATCAATCCTCATAATTGGTTCACTGGTTTATATATATATGTACATATGGAATGTACTCATACACAGTATGTATACATACATATATATGTATATATATATACACATGTATTACAGGGTGTAACGGAATAATTTAATAGTCATAGATACATAGATGAATGGAAATCCTATAGGTGTAATGGAGGTGAACGCCAGGTTTTGGATTGGTTTAATGGAACAAATCACCGGACACCTCTATATTTGATGGTAAAAACCATGGTTGATGATACTGTGAATGAAAGAAACATGATTGGCTCAATATCAATATGATACTGTGGGGACCCAAAATATGAAATTGACTATATTGACCAAAACATATGAGAATGACACCTCCATATCATTGAGTCAATACTGATAGGTTGTGGATGGTTCATAAATCCTGCACCACCACAAGGATGGTTGACACATCCAAAATGATGGGATGTTTACCACCTATCAACTGGTGCATCGGGTCAATAATGAGAGGTTTTGAGTCATACCTTGGTCCCCGAGGACCGGACTGGTCATCGCAGATACCATGCGAGAGACCTTTGGCTACACTTGGGCTTTTCCACATGCGTCCAAGACCTGGAGGGATCGGGACTTGGGAGATGTACTTAGGATGTGGATTTCGTGGCATATAACCGGGGAGAATGGGACATGATATAAATGTGGGATGAAGCAATACCAATGGGCAAAAAAAACCGGGAAAGTGATATGACCTCTGGTAATTTGTTACATAGCTATTGAAAATTGCCATAGAAATAGTTGATTTACCCACTAAAAACGGTGATCTTCCATAGTTATGTGAACGTTTACCCTCTGGTAAACATACAAAAATCGATGGAAAATCACCATTTATAGTGAATTGTTCCATGAAAAACGGTGATTTTCCATAGTTTTTTTTTAAACGTTTACCAGGCCGGGTGAATTGTAGGAATCTCTTCCCCTCTTCTCAAACCACCCTGAGTCCTGGTGACGGTGAAATGTCTTGGATCAATTGCCACAGAAATCGCTGATTGATCAGATTTTCCACTTCAGATAAATTGAATCAGATTATCAGATTATCTATTTATTGCCACTTATCTATTTATTCAGCAATTGAACATGCTGATTTTCCACTTCGCAAAGTCTAAAAACTGGAGAGAACTGATCGCATGGGATGATCACCATCATGGGACCCCTCGCGGAGGTATGTGAGCACTCTGCTGAACACCTATTTTGACGGCAAAAAGGTGGGACTTTTCGCAACAGATGCGACATCGGCAGAAGGTTGGTAGTGGGGGTGTTTTCTAGCACGATTGGTAGCTGATGTGGAAAAACATGGATGAATTTGAAGTAATTTGAATGAACAGAAACTTTGTAGGAACAACTTCTGTTTGATCAAAATCCATGATGGTAAATTTCTCTTGGAGGACTGGAGTTCCAACTCTAGAAACAGAGAGCCGCAAGAATTGGGCTCTTTGGTTGGCCTTTTTACAACCCTTCCAGGAGATGGAAGATCGACATATTGAGGTGCAGATTTTTGAGGGCAGTGGTTTTCGATGGATATCTGCTTGTGGAAGTCATGTGAAGCATTAGAGGCACCACTGTTGATGGGTTTTACATGTTTTTACAGGCTTACACTACTTGGTTTTGGTTTCGTGGGGATTCATAGAACCCACCGAGGTACCTTTTTTATTTCGGCCAGTATCATGGGATGGAATGGAATAGGAGTAGTTTTCATGGCTCGTGCTGTTTATGCCGGGATGGATATGTTGTTCATCCAATTTCACATCCTCGGGGAAGTTGGAAGAACCAGCTATCCATAAAGAGCTGAGGGTTCGTCCACAACCGGCGCGGCACAGGGCAATCACTGCGCTCAGCAATGCTTCACTGCGGGGTACCCTCTCTGGACCTTGGAGGTTGCGTCCCGGGGTTCCGACCACTGGTCGCTGCGAAAAAGCCAGGGCTGGTTGATGGTTGACCAACCGGGAACACCCCGAACCGGGATCCATGGGAAATCATGGGTATAATGATTAATAATGGTTAATAATGATGGTTAATAGTGGTTAATAATGGTTAACAATGGTTAATAATGTTTAATAATGGTTACTAATGATCGACAAGTGCACGACATGGGTATTCCCTACTAGCTTTGCGGCAGATGACGGATTCGATACGTATTTTCCTGGCACCAGGATGACACCGATGAGACCTTAAACAAATTGCTTGGCTATGCGCAAATGCCGCAGCCCGGGGCCTTGATCCTGAGAATCGGGGAAGCCTTGTTGATCTTGTTGATTACCCTCTGGTAAACTAACATAACTATGGAAAATCACCATTTTTGATGGGAAAATTCACTATAAATGGCCATTTTCAATAGCTATGTTAGTTTACCAGAGGCTATGATCCGCTGCTTTTTGATCTCAGGCATCTCATAAGAGTCACGAGAAAAAGGTTCTTGTGAGTCTCGGGAATACCAGGCGGGAGAACGTGTTTGGTCGCCCCAATGCTTTTGCTGATTAGAAAGCGCTCAGTGTGTATACAGTTGAACACGAACGTTATTGGGGGGCTTGTGAAACGTGCACAACTTCTGTGACACGTGCACAACTTCTGTGAAACGTGCACAACTGCTGGGAAACGTGCACAACATCTCTGAACCGTGCATAACATCTCTGACACGTGCACAACATCTCTGAAACGTGCACAACATCTCTGAAATGTGCACATATAGAATACTTGAAAACACGGGTTACGGGCGGTGAAACACGTTATGCCCATACCAGGATATAGCAGGATAAAGCTAAGAATCCTGTGGCAGAATTACACTCTATGAAGCCTGCTACAAGCTCACGCTGAGACTTTTTTTCCTTTTCCAGAGGCAATATGACCGCGCTAGCACTATCATTAACAATTTCAACCTTTGAGCACTTGTTTTTGAAAGACAATCCCACTCATGCAATATTTTCCAATCACTATGCCAAAACACATATTCGTATTAGTTGTATTCGTTGTTTGTACTGACACGTGATCATGCCTTTTTGAATATCTGATCATATCTGATCATGATGTATAATTGCAGATGTATACATATAAACGCATGTACATCTACATTTTCATATACATATGATTACTATGCATCAGTGTCACGTACATATACATATGCCTTCTCACATACATTTTCATGTACATATAACAATGTAGGTATACATACCCTCTGGCAATCAAACGTGGCTGGGAAATGCACCATTTATGCATGATTTTCCCAATAACACCTTCACTTAGTTCAAGCATTTCCCATTTCCATGTCTGATTACTGCAAAATGAATCCCAGTAAATCACTATTAAATCACCATTGAATCCCATTATACCATATTATACCTATAAAATCACCACTCAATCCCTATTTAAAAACTCGAAACGGAGCTTTCTCGTTTCGGAGCCTCGTTTCGTTTGAGCTGAGGCTGGGCAGTATCTCGGCTCTTCGGGCGATTTCCTCAGCCGTCGGATCTTGGAGTATCAGCGTGTCCATGAGAAAATGGTGATTTTTCATGGGATTTACCCTCTGGTAATGACTAACATAGCTATTGAAAATGACCATTTATAGTAGATTTTCCCATTGAACATGGTGGATCCTTCCATAGCTATGTTAGTCATTACCAGAGGGTAAGCATCATTTTCATGGGATTTAAATGGTGATTGATTTATGGGATTTCATATGGGATGTATTTTATCATCTTTGAATGGGATTGAGTCGATTTTTGATTTTGGGATTTTTACCAGCAAAACATCTGGGAAATTCTGGGAATCTATTTGATAAATGATGGTTATATGGTTATATATATTATATAATGATTTCTTTTTGGGGATTACACTCTACACAATGTGGATTTGCCGAGTCGATAAAAACGTTGTTTTCGCAGTGAGTGTTTTCCATTGCTTGGGGAATCCCCCTAGAAAGCTAAGTTGGTCTATAACATTTTATGACTACCCTCTGGTAAACGTTTACATAGCGAAGTGGAAAGATTCACCATCTTTAAGTTCGGTAAATCAACGAACTAAATGGGCCATTTTCAATAGCTATGTTAAATTACCAGAGGGTATATTAAGTATGGTTTACTGTATGGTAGATATATCTGCACATACTTGATGAGGTTTAAAACCAACTTTGAACTGGAGGCACCAGCTTGTATATATCGAACATACATTACCATCTATATGGTTTATCATATATATATATACATATATATATATATATACACATGTATGTATGTATATTATCACAACCTTCACCCCATGTGTGTTGAAATACAAGGCTGTTTTGGATAAATAGATTATTTACCTATTTACCCATTTGTATATTATCGCCTGTACACGCCTCTCTGTAGAAATGGCCATGGCTGCAATGTGGGGCCCCCCGTTGTGATGTTTGTTGGTTAACAAAAGCCCCAGTAACTAGTTCGTTATAGTTATAAGTTGGTTTATAAACCATGATAATCCCCATTAACTATAGTTATAAGTACCATAAACCATAGTGAAATTGGAGTTATGTTCACCAACTGAACGCTATCGAACGGGGGCCCCACATGGCTGGAGGTCTTCTATCTCAAACGCTCCACAGATGACCAGCGTCGGGCCGTGCGAACGGGGAGCCCCGGGCCGTGGCTTTTTGGCAGGTTTTCGGCCGGTCAACCAACTGGGTGGCTGGTTAAAGATGGTTGAAATTGACCCGGCCCTGGTAAACTAACAAAAAACATCAAAAAACCATGAAACATCACCATGAAGTTCGGCAAATCAACTATTTCAATGGCCTTGGCTTCCAGCGCGCTATGTATTGACACAACCAGAGGCTAATCCTTCAATCTTTTTCTCTTTTAGAATATCTACTCACCAGCAAGAACTCAATATTCCATCCATCAAAAAAAACCAGCCATTCTTTTCCAGTTTTTGTTGGTTGAAATTTAATCCTCACCAAGAAAAACTCAACATCTTTTTGGCAGACCTGGGATGATATTGGTGACCGAGTGATACCTGGGATTTTTTATCCACGACACCAAGCTCTGCAGATCTTTCGGCCCCCTTCCCGACACCAAGCTGAGACAGTCATGGGAATCAGTCGGTGGAGTAGCAGAACCTGAGACAGTGTTCCATTCAAAAATAAATGTATATATATATAGAAAAACATATGACTATAACCATATATAACCATTAATGTTGGTAAAACAATGACCACCCATATTGTGATGTTTTACAGAACCCATTGATGGTAATTTTTGGGGATGGTTATTATTGATTTACCGACATTATAGCCAATTGTGACAAGTGAAGACTAGAAGTCGTCACACGATTTCAATCTCATTGACACTCGTGGCAGACTCGAAATTGAGGCGTGGAACTCGGTTCTCTTCGTGGGCTGGGAGGGGTAAAAAACACTCTGATCTTATGAGGGCACGCCATCATTGGGATGCAGCGGGTTTTTGTATGTTTTTGTTACGTACTCCAAATGATCCCAAAATCCAATTGAATCCTTATGAAAACCCATTCACTGGCCATAATTATGTCAATTTCCAGCTGTAATGCCCCACGGTTGGTCGAAACTTCCGCCTCTTTTGGTGCGTTTTGAAGCACCCTTTATTTTCCCATCGAAAGGTCATGCCCGAGAAGCAGCTTGGCGGGATCGAGATATCGAGATTCGACAACCCCAAAATGCCTCAACCATGGGGATTTCAGTAAGAAAAAAATATGTAATGTGGTTAATCCACAATATATGGGATAATCCTTCCCATTGACTTTCATATTTTTGAGAGGGGTTGAAACCACCAACCAGGTATGTATGCAACCAACCAGTTAAAGCAATAATTCAATAAACCATCCCCCAAATCACCATAAATAGGTGCTCTAAACCATTCCCAAATGGGTGGTTTATTATTGTTTCAACCACATTATTTTATGATTTATATGGCTTTTCTTGTAGTAGAATTGGATTCTATCTGATTCATGGTCAAACACTGGGACTTGCAACCAACGAAGATGAAGTGGAAAACTATCATTATCCAGAACAAAATCCACTCCTCAGGTTGGTTGGAGGGTATATTTGATTTCCGGTAGGTCTAGCAAACATAAGAAAATTAACTGGGACTTGATATGTTATTGTTGCAGGTGTATTGATGAACAAGACCATGGATGGGTTATGGATCTGATTTTCGTATGGTTTTTCCTTTAAATCAATATCCACAACTACCAGATTTTTGATCCAACAAGCAGGGTATCAGGGCCAGGGGTCCATTCCCCTTATTATTTTCTGGTTTTCTCGTTAGCTTTACTTGTTAAACATGTCTGACAGTGGAACAGCCGAGCTGGGCGTTCATTTTTTTTCCTGAATCACTTGGCAAATCATCCGGAAAGTTCTAGTTGGAGTTCCTTGTTTGTTGCAAATCAAAGTTCTCCAATCCGATTAGTAACTTCAACTACACTTAGTGACATGTTTTGTCAATTCAACTATACTTAGTAAACGCATTTCCAACTAGTAAATTAGTAAACAGATCTATGGGAATTTCAGGATCCTAAAATGGAGGTACTGTACCATATAAGACCATATTTTGTTGGGATATTCCCTTACATAGGCCTTATCTAGACCTTATATATATGGTAGGTACCTCCAATTTAGGATCCTGAAATTCCCATTGAACAGATGGATTTCAACTATTTCAAACAGTTTGTGAACCGTAGAGTAAACGAAGCCAGGCATTCTTCCGGTTGACATTTGCCCCCAGGAACGCTCCATTGTCGCCCAGCTCGCCGTCGCCGGGGCAATCAGTTTGGTCCTTTTTGATTAAGGATAGGGGGATCACAAAAAAAAACATCCAAAGCCATGATGAGAAGCCATAAACCATGATGGTATAACTAGGATATGGTGTGTTTATTCTACTACCCTCTGGTAAACTAACATGGCTATGGAGAATCACCATTTTTAATGGATAAATCAACTATAAATGGCCATGTTCAATAGCTATGTTTGTTTACCAGAGGGTATAATATTTGTTGGTTTACAACTCCCATTGCCGCTTTTCCCTCCCGTAAACCAACAACATAGATGTGGTGTTTACCCACCATGAATGTAGATCATTTTCCTAGGGAAACCATGGGTTTTCCCCATCTATGTAAACGTTTACCCCAGGGTAAATATACCCTCTGGTAATTTAACATAGCTATTGAACATGACCCGATTATAGTTGATTTACCTATTAAAAATGGTGATTTTCCATAGTTATGTTAGTTTACCAGAGGGTACATCTACCATGAACCATAGTTATCCTAAACCAACTTCGCTGAGCATGGGACACCGCCTCGCTTTGAGAGCTTTGCCACCTATGTCTGTGTTCAGTCTTGGCTTGCACCGGACTTTGAGGGCTCCAAGTTTTGAGACATGGCCCAGATGCTTTGCATTCTCATGATAATCATTGGTAAAACGGCAATCCCAGAGGCTTACAATTCCTTCCCGTTTAGTTATAAACACCTCAGAAAGACTGGCACAATGAATAATAATCAATGACCATCAATAACCGTCCATAATCATCAATCATCATCAATAACCATCAATAACTACCATAAATAACCATCCATAACCATCAATAAGGACCTATAATTGTGGATCTGCTAATTTCAGGATCCATTTGTTGGGCTTTGATGTCCTGCCCAGGAACCCTTCGAACCAGTCGTCACCCAAATCACCGTCGCGGGCTAAGATCCATGAGCTTGCCGAAGCCGAAAATGGGGTATACCCCCCAACTGATCCCAAATAGAATCTTATTGGTAAATACTCTGATAAACACATATACACGTATGTTATAAATTTGATCTACCCCCGGGGCAGTAACAGTGAGCACAAGCCAGGGGCACAAAATGAGCACCAGCCAAATGCAGAAAATAAGGGTCTAATCTGGTGATATGATACGGATAAATTCTTATACAAAATCAAAAAACGGACCAGGTAGACACCATTGATATCTAAATCATCAAATGGTTGAAAAAATGTTTCATGTGAATCGGAAGGAATCAAGCTGCACAGGTTTCTGTTTCTCTCTTCTCGGCTCTGGCTGCTACAGATTTGCTAGGAACTGGCCAACTTATCACCAACATTCCGTTGGAAACCTTAGCAAATCGCAGCAACTCCGACAACCTTAGCAATGACAACTAGCAACAATAACAACAACCGCCCCACAACCAGCGACAGCACCACCACGACCACCACCACCAGCAGCAGCGGCAGCAGCAGAAGCAGCAGCACCACCACCACTACCACCACGACAACCACCTGGGGGGTTGGGGCTGGCTGGGGCTGTGGCTGGGGCTGGGGCTGGACTTGGCTATAGGGTTTAAGGGTTTAAGGGTGTAAGCGCTTCGCCCAAAAACTATTTTAAGAAAAAAATATATAATCTATATATATATATATATTTAATAGAAATCAAAAAAAGAAGATATATTTATTGAAAATTCTAAGAAATATATATATATATGCACTTTGTTTTTTAAGAGAAACTAATATATGACAAAAACATAACAATATCCATGTTAAATTAATATATGTTTTCAATGTATCAAACATTTAAATTAAATATCTAAGATAAAAACTATATTATATAAATGCAATATATATATACATACATTTTTTTTTTTGAAATTTATACTTAAATTTATAATTAAATATATTAAAATCCTTTCTCCTTTCCCTTTCCCTTTCTCCTTTCCCATTACACATGGAACGCAGTGGTAATCTATAGATGGCGCAATCCAAAGGTATGGTTTTCCAAACCAAAATGAACCCCAAATTCATTGCGATCTTAATGCTAAATTAAATTTAACTAGAGGAAAACAGGTATTTGTCAACCTAATGTGCTGGGAATTTTTTTCGATGGCGCAAATATCCTCTTCGTTCAGGTGGTCGATAGATGGCGAAATTCAAAAAATTAGCGCCATCCACGATTTTTTTGGAGTATATATATATATGTATACATATACATATATACATATATATGTATATATATATATATGTATATATATATGTATATATATATATATATGTATATATATATACATACACATACATATATATATATCAGAATATGGTTTTGGTCAAATTTTATCGACCTCATAATGAGCTCAGAGTGAATGGGGGTTAGTAGAGGCAAGTATGAACAGAAAGGGTTTACTGCAGGGGTATAGAAACAATACCAATTTGCCCAGGTGATATAGTATCTGCTAGAAGATGTATCATGCAGTCTGAAACGACAGAAAATCGTGGCAAAACTGAAGAGACACGCATTATTTTGTATAGTAACCCACAAAAAGATAGAAACGGTGTTTATCAATATTTTTGCACGATTTTACCTTTTTATCCTGCTGCGGGGTGCTATATACATAGATATAGATATTTAGACTTTTATAGAATTATAGGCTATAGGTTTATATATTTTTAAATATAAGTAGTTAGTTAGATGGATGGATAGATAGATAACCAGATAAATACAGAGATAGATAGGCATGTAGATACTTTTGATGTTTTTGCCTGGACATTCGTGGCAACTTTCTTGGAAGGCCGGCAGTTGCTACTGAGGAACCCGAGGAACCGGGTGAAGGTGGCACATCTGGGCGTGACTTGGCGGCTGTGTTGTCATGTGGGTGTGTCTGAAAATAGTGTACCCCTAAACCCAATGGTTAATGATCATTATCCCTATTAAATTGCTATTAAATTGGGAATATACCCTATTTTCAGACAAACCCATGTGGTTTTTTTTTGAAATGGCGGTAAACCAAGGTAAAATGGCCACACCCTCGGGTAAAATGGCCACATATCCCGTTTTCCAACCACAGAAAATCACGTCATTCTATATTTTTCATGTTGAATCTTAGCCGCTCTTTGAGAACTATCCCAGTAAGAACAACATCCTGAAATACAAGGCGAGGTCCCCAGAGTTATAAGTTGGTTTATAAACCCATTGACTATGTATCCCCCATAAACTCAACAGTTAACCAAGTGAACTGTGCGTGAATCTGTCACTATTTTCATCAACAGGGGCCTGACCTCAAAAACATGATTGTTGGTGAACAAATCCCCATGAATCCCGATGAATTCCTATGAAACACCATTAAACACCATTAAACCATCCATTAAATCACCATTAAATCACCATAAATCACCATTAAATCCCACTAAATCACCATGAAATCATCCATGGAATCACAATTTTTTAAAACCCATTGGGGACCCCATGGGATCCACTCAGGATGAGATAGATCATGGCGATCGAAGGCAGGTGGATCAACAGATCCATTCGATCATTTGGATAGTCAATATACTATTTAGGTTATATACTATGATATATGCTATTATATATACTATTATATATACTAATATATATATACTATTATATATACTATTATATATACTATATTATATACTGTCAATGATTGGTCATATGCCATACTTATCCAACAGATAAAGTACTAATTAAATTTACTATTACCCAAACATTATCCATTCAATGATTTCGAAGTGTCCATTAAAAAAGTCGATCATCCCACCATCAAAAATGATCGGCCTCCCAAATTGGATGGGTTTTGCGGGTACCTCAATGACTTAAGCTGGGTGCATTTCTGTTGGTGCAGCTAAATCCCAACTGCCTAAATTCCATTGTAAATGGATTAAATCCATCAAATCAGAGCAATTTTTAGATGATCCAATCCCTAAATGTCAGAAAAGTGACATCCAATTCAAAAATGAATTTTGAGTTTATCATCATTTATATCATAATTTTTGGGATTTAATTTTAGCTAATTTTTGAGTTTATCATCTCAATCCATCAAATCCTATCTTGCTCTGTTTTGAGAAACATTTTCACAATACTACACCATCACACTAATCAATGTCCACAAATATACACATTATGATTGGTGGTGTATATCCACAATTGGGAGTGATTATACCACCAGAATATTATTGGGAGTTACCCTCTGGTAAACTAACGTAACTACAGAAAATCACCATTTTTAATGGGAAAATTCACTATTTCTATGGCCATTTTCAATAGCTAACTGTTAGTTTACCAGAGGGTAACCACCATCACAAGAATCAATGTCCACAGAATCATGTGGTTGGTGGTTAACTCCCAATGATTTGTTGCTTCCAGTTGAAAGCTCCTCGATCCAGCATAAAGTCGCTACTCTATACCCTCCTGTCATAGCCACTAAATCCCATTTAATCCCAATGAAATCACCGTTTTTGGTTAACATCCCATTTATTGCCATTAAATCCCAATAACAATCCAATAAAAATCCCTATAAAATCTCCATAACATCGCGTTAAGACCCATATTTTTGCCATTTGGATCACCAAGCTATGACGGCTGCCGTTGCCGATGTTTTTCGCCAGGCATGGGTCGAAGAGAACCCCACGGTCCAAGGACCGGGGACCGGCGATGGGATCTCCTATGGGATGAAATATGGGTTATATATGTGTAATACAATAGATATAACCCTTACTGGTTGGTGGTTTCATTTTTTTTTCCATAGAATGGGAAAAATACTCCCATTTGACTAATATTTTTCAGAGGGGTTGAAACCACCAAACAGTAGATGTAACCCTTATCTATTTATATCTTATATATATAATTTATACATGTTTATATACATAAATAAACAATAGATATCCCCATGATATGTAAGTAACCATATTATGCGGGATTATAAATGGAGATATATTATATACATAATCATATGTGTTAATATGGTTAATGATGATATATCCCCATTTATAATAACCAATATGTGTATAATGGGTATCTACAAAGTCGGTTTTCCAGCTATGTTTTCCATATATTATGTGGGGGTTTTCTGAAATAGGGGTACCCCTAAATCATCCAATTCCTTTGGATTTTCCATGACAAACCAGCTATTGTGGGATCCCCCATTTTAATATTAGGAACCCCCCATATGTATATACATGGATTATAGAATGTGTATATATATATATACATCCCATGTTATCCCCATAATGGTTACTTGGATGTGCATCCTACTTAGTAAATGGGGTGAGAAACCCTCAGTTAGATGAACATGGAATATTCCCTATCTATGGGATGAAGTATGGGCTAGATCAATGGACTGTATACACCACGGATCCGATTCGTGGGGCCCACACATCCAAGTAATGTATGATGTTAGTAAACCAATAGTAAATTATCCCCACTTTTATAACATAGATGCGTGGTATAAACCAACTCAAGATGTGTGGTTTATTATTGCTTTACACGCATAATTGAACATGGAGCTATGTATATACATCTTAGCTATTATATGGGACTATTGTAAAATATGGGAAAACATGCATACTTCGTTAATAAGGGGACTACAAATTAATTATGTATACACGTTATCAATGTTTCATAATTCATTGATATTTTTTGTATATAATGTACATACATATTTTTTCGCATTGTGAATGGACAACCCATCCTGCACCAGTTGGTAACTATCTATGAAACACTGTAAGTTGCACGGGATGATTTCTGGATTTCTTCCCAGAACGGCCGAATGGCCGACATGTGTCTGGTGAATTATTTGGAAAATTCGTCCGTATCGATACATAAATAGATGCATTAATGTATAGACTATCTATGCTCACAATTGAATGTACACACATATATAAGAATATATATATATGTATATATATACATACACATAGTGTGTACAGGCGCATATGAACATGTATTTACGATGGATTGTGTCAAAGTATGGCATCTATGACATGAATCGCGAGTCTTAGATTCCACATCAACTGCTGTGATTCATCTACTACAGATTATCATATCAACATCCACCCCATAGCGATCCAGTACAAACTTGGTTTATAAACCCTATTCGCATCCATTAGCTACAGGTGTAATTGCCATAAACCCTAGTGAAATTGGAGTTACAAATCAACTTAGCCAACGTAAATCAACCAAGCCACATTTGTTGTTGAAGTCCCATTCAAATCAGCTAACCCTGTGAACATTTGGTGATTAAGAACCCTCCGGTGTGTCATAAGAAACCATTTGGGGCTATGTGGGGCGAGGAGTCTCCAGGGGGAATGCCGCTGAGTCCACATCGACTGGCAATTGGCCAGGGGTCTCAGATGACGCAGCGACGAAGGTTTCATTTAGAACGGAAAGTTGGTATATAATATGATTTATAAATTAGTTGGTATAATTGGTTGTAATAACACATTGGGATATAGTTGGGATATAATTGGTTGTAATTATCACAAGCAGTAAGTTCAAAATCATTTAGTTCTAAGCTAGTGATAATTGAAATTGGGACGTATGATTTGTTGGGGGGTTGTAAATCTAATCCCGATTGTATCCCTACTAAGCTAGTGATAATCTAATTGTCTATCTTTTTGGGGGGTTGCTGTAGTAGGGATACGATGGGGGATTTATCTACCAGCAAATGGGGATCTAATGGGAATATAATGGGACATAGCAGCCCAATTGGTATCATGATGGATGTTGGGGATATCATGGGAATATATGCAGCACAGTAGGAGTAAAGGCAACAATATTGGGATACAACGGACGTATTGGTCATCAATCATGACATATGATGGGAGAATGATGGAGGGATTAAGCAATGGAGATTTAATGGAATTTTTGATAGGGATATAGAGTCTAATATAGAGGATTTAACCACCAGCAAAAGGAAAGCACTGGGAACATAATGGGACTATGATGGGTATGTTTCATGTGAAAAAGGGATGTATGAATCTTTAACGGAGATATAATCCCATCAGTAGCTATGGATTCCATGAAGAGAATGGATATATGTTGGGAGAATGATGGGGATGTTTTCTGTGATGTATCATGGGATATGATAGGGATATATTGGGATTGAACCAACAGCAAATAGGAAATACGAGAGGGGTGGTGGTTTCAGTGCGGCATCGTTAAGTTGGTTTAGTTCAATCATATTTCACTGGGGTTAGCCTGGTAGATGTATCTATACTTAATGTAGTTATAAGCCAACTTACAACTAGGGCACCACCGCAAGTAGGTCCACATAGCTATTTTGGGCTGACAGTGTCGGATGGGATGGCCATTGTTGCTCAGGGATGAAAATTATAGCTGAAGAATCACAAGACATCAGAGCTGAGCAAGTTCAAGAATATGGATATCGGCTTCCAAAGGATATATATATATAAGCTATATATATATATAAGCTATATATATATAAGCTATATATATATATAAGCTATATATATATATAAGCTATATATATATAAGCTATATATATATAAGCTATATATATATATAAGCTATATATATATAGATTCATACACTTTGCATATTCATATAGGATTTATAGGATATCAAGTCTCCAGTACTTAGTCACTACTTCCTCAAGGATATATATATATAGGCTTCGGAAGAGACTGGGGAGTCTATTTTTTGGGTACAGCTCAGCCCCCAAGCGCCCATCAGTCCGACAAGTCTTCAGAATGATGATCTGAATTCGAGGATCATCCGATTATCATTGATGATCCACGACGTCTTCAATGTTTCAATGATAATGAATGATATCATACTTGTACAAACTGATTATCATTGATGATCCTTTTTTTTTTGGCTGGTACCAGTATGGTAGAGCCATGGTTTCCGGTAGATTTTCCCTTAGACCAACCCAATGAACGACTGGGGTCGAAACCTGCCAAGATAGCGCGCTGCAGTGCATGCAGAGTAGGCAGGGCAGTTTCAACAACTCCCGGGTTTTTACCCTCTGGTAAACGTTTACATAACTATGGAAAATCACCATTTTCAATGGGTAGATCCACTATAAATCACCATTTTCAATAGCTATGAGGGTAAGTGGGATCCCAACGAATCATTGGATAACTATGGGACTACCTGGGGAGAACTATGGGATCACTATGGGATAACAATGGGAGTATGATGATCATTAGATAACTATAAAAGTGATCCCATTAGATAAACTACGGGTATCTTCTATGGTATAATGGTTATCTAATGATTATCTAATGATTATCTGATGGTATACAATAATCATTAGATAATTACATATAATTACGGGATCTTTCTGGAAATGACAGGATTATTGTAACAGTTTTAACAGAGTTCATCCCCAAATTGTTGTTTAGTATTGTGTTTGTGCAAACTGTATATCCCTACCTGGGATATCGGTTGTCGCAGCAACTGCTAGCTATTGATAGCTGCTGAGTTTGGTGACATTTGCAACTTTGATACATTGTTTCTGCTGAAAAAAATGGAGAAGACCGCAAAACCTCAGTCCAACCCATGGTTCATCATCACTTTCCCTTAAAAACTACTTAAAACTACCCTGAAGTAGGTTTTACCCTCTGGTAATCAAACATGGCTTGCTGGAAAATCCAGCACGTCCAGTATAGATGATTTTCCCAGCTATAAGCATCCATTTATAGGGAATTTCCAATTACCATGTTTGATTACCGAAGGGCAAATTCCGCATTTCTGGGACGAATCCATAGTTCGGGCTGACACAGCCCTTGCGCCCTGCAGCCAGCCAGGAAGTCGCAACTGGATGTTCGAAATGTGGCCACAAGCTCAGAAAAAGGGTCAAGTGCTGATGGGAAAAATTGGGAAACTGGTTGAAGTTGAACAAAACATGGGGATTCACCCGATTCCAAACCACTGATTTCACCCCATGAATCTCGTCCGGGCTTCGGCATAGCCCAGGAGCGACCCAGCAAGTGGAATCTCGCGCGACTCGCATTGGCAGGTGAAGCTCAGATCGAAGCTTTCACATGAAGAGAAGTTCTTTGATTTGCCATCAACGGGGGTATACCTATATCTATATCTATATCTATACCTATATCTATATCTATACCTATATCTATATCTATATATAATGATATATATAATTATATATATATTATAGTTATTATATTTATAATACAAATATGAATATATATATATATATATGTATATATGATGATTATATAAATGCAATAGATATGGAATCCATGATTTATAGAAGCTGGATGGATCTACACACGCATGCAAACATATAGAAAGATATGAAGATCAGTCAAAACACTGGGGGGGCCTGCAGTTCGCACCAAAAATAGCTGGTGTTTATGGATGTTTATGGATGCTTGTCCTCTGAAATATGCTATTTCTATCATCTATTTCCTAGGTTTGATCCATCTACGAAAAAGTTGCAGGTCCGCAAAGCGATGAAGATGGAAGTCGGGAGCACAGGGGATGGCGGCTGATGCCTCCGGCTTTCAAATGTAGCTGCATGGGAAATCCTCTATACATGGAGGATTATAGCTGGGAAAATCATCTATAATTGGTGGATTTTCCAGCAAGCCACGTTTGAGTTCCGAAGGGTATACCCCTGGAATTTGCCATTCTAATGAGGAAAATTATCGCCAACCATCAAATTTGGGGTTTAGCCTAGATTTTCAGACAAACCAATTTGAATTTGTCAACCCAGTAGTAAACCCTGACTATCAATTGCGGGGGTGCTAGGTTTGACAGCCACTTACTTGGTAGACACACGCACACACGTCCACATACGGACTGGTTTTTACTTCGGGGATGCCATGATGGCATGCTGCGGGTTCCTCCAAGCATTGGAACCCGCACATCTCAGATCTGACAGAAGTCCAAAAGCTTTTGAGACGCGTGAAAGGCCGGCACCCAGTGGGTACCACTGTTCTCCGCGAATTTTTCACCCCGGGGGTGAGGATGAAAGCTGGCAACATGTTTTCAAGCACAAAGATTTGTTTCGAGTTCTCAAAGTAGAATTTTGAAAGCTGATTATTCCTCACTGGAGGATGCATCCTTCGTAAGTGGGTAGCATCGTGGTTGTGGCTAGTATTTATATGTATTTATGTATCATTTCTGCAAATGGCTTATGTCCACAGTTCTATATGTGTCATGGTCAAAAGTTGGATTGTGTAGCCGTATATCTTGGATCCGCGTGATGGGATGAGCATAAAGCATGCCTAGTTTGACCCCAGCATATAGGGTTTATAAATGGATCATGAAATACAGTTTACAACATATCCAATGGTTAATTACCGGATAACATATTTACATCAATTATTATGTATAAATTATATATCATGAAGTATTTATTAAACACTGGATATACAAACATACAGTATATATCACATCACCATTTTTAGACATCACCATACGTTACACATATTTTCCATGTTTTATAACATGACCATGTTGTATTACATAATATATAGGTAGTATAATTACATATACACAGCCATAGTGTACTATGTTTTATACATGGTTTATGAACTGGATTGGAGCTGGGCTGATACATTTCACTGCAGGTGAATACACCACAGTGACTCAAAAGGAGGTGGGGGGACCCGCTGGCTGGGGACCCGGGGGTCCAGCCAGGTGCTACAAAATGGATCCACTAAGTGGGGATTAAGTGGGGATATGGTTGATATATATGGTTGATATATGGATGATATATGGATGATATATGGATGATATATGGATGATATATGGAACCAAACATGGGAATTTGAATTCGAATCCAAACATAGGGATTTCTCCGATGAATGCTGGATGATGGCTTTCCAAAAATTTGAGGCATACCCAAAATGGTCACTTTCATTGCGGAAAATCATGCGAAACCTACAGGATGGGGGTGCGTGGTGGAAGACAAGACCTGGAAGATGAGCCATTTCGATGGTTTTCCCAGCGAACTAAGCCGAGCAAATCGCCATGTTGTTTGAGTTTCCCGGCAATCGCCATGTTTGATGACGGAGGAAATTCATGGCATCACCCATAATCACACACACATAGAAAGATGATCTGTATCCCCATTCAATAACTCTAAAACTATCATCTTTCTAAATCTAATCTATATTAAGCCACACATCCCATATCTAACTACCAATAAAACCAGCAGTTGATGGCTTTGATGGTAGGGTTATCCAGCCACGCAGGATGTTTTAGAGACCATCATGAACGCTACGGCCCACGCCAGCTTCGAGTGCCTAGGAGCGGCGTGGTTGGTTGAGGTTGTTGGTTGAGATGATTTTTTTCAGAGGCGCTAATAAACAAATACCCTCTGGTAATTTAACGTAGCTATTGAAAATGGCCATTTATAGTGAGTTTTCCCATTAAACATGACAATTTTCCATAGTTACGTATGTTAGTTTACCAGAGGGTATATGTTGACTGTTGACTTAGAATCTAGAAATTATAATTCACTTGGTGCCTGTGAGTGATTTTCGTTCAAGATAGATTCTGGGGATGAAATGTCTCATGTCCTGCCAAGATGTTGGGATGCCGTGGTTCCTGGGAAGGGCTACCCGGCTACCCGGCTACCCTGTTTGTTTTGGGCCATAGGGGGCTACCTCCAAATTGTGATGCCCCAAAATCCAAATCCCATGATGGTCATGATTTGGGTATGGGTCAATACCTATTAATACCATTTTTAGTGGGATGAACATCCATTTACCAGCTATTTTGGGGTTCACTAGGTACCAGGGTTTTGACCCATCCCCATTTATCATCCTTTCCCTCATGAAAATTGTCATTTTTGCGGATCAATCCAGCAGTTTGAGACACAGCCCTAGGACGCTTCGAAATGGAACCCTCGTGCGCCGATCTGCCGTCGATCTGGGGTTCGATCTGAGTCTATGGTGGAATGAAGTCGTTTCCAAAGTTATGGCTTGGGGACTGTCAGATACCATGGTAAACCAACACAGCAATGGAAAAGCCATATTTTTAGTATCTTTACTGGGTAAATCAACTAATAATGACCATTTTCAATAGCTATGATAAATTACCAGAGGCGTAGGATACCATGCTTGGGGCTGCAGTTGGGGTCATTAATGAAAACAAACATGGTAATAACCAACACAAGTTGGGATAGGGCCACACATCTCTATGGTTAAATACCACACTTATGACTAGAACTGCAACCCCAAGTAACCATAGCCAACTGAAACACATTCGAACATTTTGAGCTATGACACATTTGTATACATTTGTCAGTGTCGGTTTTCAAAAGATACCCTTGAAGATTCCACTATTTGAGAGCTGCTCTCTGGTTTTTTTGTTTTTTTCATGGCCAAATCAGCATCTCCGGGCTCAAGCACGCTGCAGTCGCTAGATCGTTTTCAAGATGAGTCTTTATCTTTGCACCTCGTCCAAACTTGGTGTTTTTTTGAAAGGCCCAGCAGCCCGGTGGAAATTCGTTTGACCAATCAGACATCGGCCCGGTAGCATCGAAATCCCCGCCAGCTTCATTGTGGCCATTTGTGTTTTTTTTTTTTAATAGGGAGATACCCCAATTAAAGAACATTTTCTCATAGGGGAAATGAGGTTTGAATGTGTTTTAGTCCATTGGCATTGGGGGATTCCCCAATTTTCAGACCCCAAAAATGGACCTTGAGGTCTTTGGTTTTCTGTTGCTGTGGCAGTTAACCCGCCTTTGGGTACGCATCAGCTGTTGGAGTATGACGTGGATCTGGAAGCCAGTCCACTGGAGCGTTACGCCAACGTCTACTTCGATTTCCTGCAGCGCCGCGGTGAACGCGGCCTGAAAGCGTTCCAAGAAACCTATCAGGCGGAGACTCTAACTGGGAATATGAAAAATGGATTGGTTTAAGGGAAAACCTTAACCGGAAACATCCGGAAACCATAGATTTTCCCGTTAAATATAGGGTTTTCCTGTAAAACGAATCCATGGAAATCAGTGGCAGAAGTTCGTGAAGTGATGAATAGAAATGAACATCGCCAATTTATAGATCATTTTCCCATAAACCTCCATTTATAGCGGGATTTTCCAGCTAGCCACGTTTGATTGAGGATACTCCAGACATCGCCGCTGGTAGAAGTCTTCGATTTCTGCTGGTTGGACACCATTTTCAGGGGCTTTATCAATAATTTACCGGGGTCAACAAGCGTGGCTTATATCATATACGGTATACAATGTGGGGCCCCCAAGATAGCTAAGTTGGTTTATAACTCCAGTAACTATGATTTATGGTACTTATAACTATAGTTAATGGGGTTTATAAATCAATTTATGACTAGGGGGCCCCACATTGTAGTATGTGCGCGTATTTTGGGGGAGTTGGAAGGACCATAAGTAAGCCACAGTAATTACTGAACAGCGTCAGGCGTGGCATGCTCGGCTACGCTCGGCTTTGCCAGAGATCTTTGGTGCGAACGAGACGCAGAAGCAGCAGAGATGGTGGGAGGTCGCAATGCTGAGATTGTTATTTATTTACTGGCGCTTAGTCGGGAATTGGGAAATGATCCAATCACTATTTGACAATCATCTCATTCCCTCATTCCCTATTAAGCACCAGTAAGTTTATGGCAATGGTACCCTTTCGTTTTTTTGTTCAAGAACTTAAACAACAAATTGTTGATAGGTTTTCAATGCTTTTTCACCATTTAAGTAGTGCTTGACAAGGAAGAATAGTGTGAAATACTACCTGATTCCGGGGATTGTGGACCAGAATCCTACAGGGTGAGGCTCCAAAGGATAGCTAAGATAAATTATGTCTTTTGGTAGACATATCGAACTACATTGTTCATGGGGTGAAAGTAAACAAACTAAATCAACATCGAACAATTGGGGACTTCCATTTTCCCAACTTTTTTTTTCACCACCTTTTCCTCCAGCCGTTCCGTTCTTAACGTCGTTAGGCGTTGCGCAGGGGGCACCCCGTGGCCGCCGCCGAGCTGTATGGCCTGTCACAGCGGCTCGGAAGCGACGTGGCAGGCGACGTGGCAGCGCTGGCCACTGCGGTGTCCCTCTACCCGCTGCTGATCATTTCGCCCAAGGTGAGGCAATGCCAAGGGGGGCCAAGGTTTTTCGGTGAGGAAATGCCAAAAAATGTCCCGGACATCCACTACTGGGAGCAACTCCAATGATGGGATTCCGACTGATTATGGAGATTTGGCCATAACAAGATTTAGTTTGGGATTCCATAGATTTGTTGGGATTTCTAATTATTTAATTGCCTGCGGCAAGCCCGCCGGCCATAGCCATTTGGTGCATAGAGACATTTTAATGAGCCTTCGGCGTATTCGCAGACCGTGGCCTGGACAAAAACAAGGCCAGTGTGTGTGTGTGTAAAAAAGCATCTGTGCGTCAAAGCTGCGGTGTGTAAAGGCTTCTGTGTGTAAAAGCATCTGTGCGTCAAAGCTGCCGTGTGTAAAAGCTTCGGTGTGTGAAAGCGTCTGTGTGTATAAGCGTCTGTGTGTAAAAGCATCTGTGCGTCAAAGCTGCGGTGTGTAAAAGCTTCTGTGTGTGTAAAAGCATCTGTGCGTCAAAGCTGCGGTGTGTAAAAGCTTCTGTGTGTAAAAGCATCTGTGGGTCAAAGCTGCGGTGTGTAAAAGCTTCTGTGTGTAAAAGCATCTGTGCGTCAAAGCTGCGGTCTGTAAAAGCTTGTGTGTGTAAAAGCATCTGTGCGTCAAAGCTGCGGTGTGTAAAAGCTTCTGTGTGTAAAATCATCTGTGGGTCAAAGCTGCGGTGTGTAAAAGCTTCTGCGTGTAAAAGCATCTGTGCGTCAAAGCTGGGGTGTGTAAAAGCTTCTGTGTGTAAAAGCATCTGTGCGTCAAAGCTGCGGTGTGTAAAAGCTTCTGTGTGTAAAAGCTTCTGTGTGTAAAAGCCTCTGTGTGTAAAAGCTTGTGTGTGTAAAAGCTTCTGTGCGTAAACTTCTGATAAGTCGGAGTAGGCGTCGGAGGAGGCGTAGGAGTGGGAGTAGGAGTGGGAGTAGGAGTGGGAGTAGGAGTAGGAGTGGTAGTAGTACCAATGGCAGTAGTGGCAGTAGTGGCGGTCGCAGTTGCAGTAGCAGTAGTAGTAGTAGCAGTAGCAGTAGTAGTAGTAGTAGTAGTAGTAGTAGTAGTAGAAGTAGTACTAGTAGTAGTAGTAGTAGTAGTCGTCGTCGTCGTCGTAGTAGTAGTAGTAGTCGTGGTAGTGGTGGTGGTGGTGGTGGTGGTAGTGGTAGTGGTAGTGGTAGTAGTAGTGGGGGGAGGGGGGGGGAGGGGTGAAGAGGGGCCCTAGCGTCTACTTCAAGATCAGCTAAGGCGTCTTCCCCAATGACAGCACTCTTTTACTCTCAGCCTGTTGCCGGTCAGTGCTTGTCTACAGGGTTACTCTCTATACCTCTTGAGCCTTGAAGGGCGCATATAAATGTGCTCAATACTCATGCATAGTACCTGGTAGGTATTAGGTCGAAACAAAAACACAGGCACAAATTCAAAAGCAATGAGTAGAGCACTATGCCTTGCCGTACCCAATTGGTATTAAGAGTATCTTCCTGACTTCTCTACACAATGGCAAATAGCAAACTAAACCGGAGTTACGCAGTGGCTTCGAATTTAAACACGTGAAAGCAGCGAATGTCCTAAGGACATGTCGAAAAAAAAAGAACAGCGGATTCGCTAATTTTTCCAGTAGCGACCAATGGTGCTTCGCGCACGGTCTCTCCATAGGCAAAATGCCTCGCTCTACCGGTGAAAGTTCGAATTGAAAAGTTCGGATTCGCAAGATTCAGAAATTCAGGTCATATGAAAAGCAATTGACCAAATCACGAAATAAACGGAAACAGCGGATCTCCAAAGTTGCTCATTCAAGCGAACAATGGACTGAAATCGAAGTTGGTAATTTTTGGAGTTCGCTCCATTCGGAGTGGTCTGCTCGCAGGATGGTCCATGGAGATAAATGTGTATAGTATCTCTATTTACAAGAGTATCTATTTTACATTAAATTGAAGTTCAGACACTTGTGGCATTATCTCTATCTAAGAGTATATGCCATCTGTGTGAAATAAGTTGATGCACAGAAAAACTGTGCACGGCCTCTCATGCTGTGTTATCTTCATTTAAAGAAGTGTACACTCACTCATAGCCAAAAGCTCGTTCTCCATGGTCTGGACGAAGAAGATGAGGATCCACCCCAACTTGCGTTGCCCTGATACGTTGATGCTTGGCCTTCATATGCCTTTCTCTTTTTCTCCTTCTGTCTTTCCTTCCTTGTATCTGCATACTGCTTCTTCTTGAAAGAATGTTTGTAATGATGTCGTTCATTCCATGACATATCAGAAGGATCAAGATGGATAAGAATTGGATTATGAGCATCACGATCATTTGGGGCAACCATGAAGATGTTGTGATCACCATGTAAGCAAGTTTCATTTACCTTGAAGTAAAATTCACCCACATAGTTCATGCGATCTTCATCACCATCAAAGTCGTCTGGGTGTTCCTGACACATCAAACGTGAATGACCCCACTCAACAACTGCTAACATACAGCAATCACCTTTACCATTTGTCCTGTTCATGAGCTCTTCGGTGTATGTTGCTGTTGTAATGCCATCCAAGTGCGTTGCAAGAAAATCCAAGTCACGATAACTGCAAGAAATGAAATGCTTGACCCTAATTGGAGGGCAAGATGAATCAAAAATACTTGCGCATGGCTTGTGTTGCAACACCTACCATTCTGTTAATCCAGAATTGGATTAGGCTGTGTTGATATGTAGGGACGCCTGGAGATTTTGGTGTGCTGTAATAGCATGCCTTGTTTCCATCACCTGCGATGAAGTCAACTTGATATCTGGCACACTCAAAAGCCATAACAGCTAAGCACTCACCAACAATACCAGCAGAGTCTGATGCATACTTCTGTCCGACGTGATAAACGCACACACGTGTCATCCTCATCCTAGCTCTTGTCAAGTCAACAATCTCATCTGTATCTCGGTCCTTTGTCTTTCCCCAAGATACTTCGAAGATTGCCCATGAGACTTGTCGAACTCGTGTGTCGTTGTCATCTGTGTGATATCCAGCAATTTGCTTGATATAGCCATCCTTTCCAAGGCGAGCTGCCACCATAAAGTCATGATAGTCACTGAAGCAAGTTTTAAAGTCAACCTCGTCGAGTCTTTCTCTGTGAGGATACAATGAACCAGCCTCGCAATTCATGAAAAGATGTCCTCCAAAATTCTTGATGACATTGATGAAGTAATTGTTGAACTGTGATTTGTTCTCATCAAATTTTTCATGATCCTCATCAATAGTGTAGTCAATGTGTGGAATGAATTGTTGAAATCTTTCTGGAACCGGGCATTTTTCAAATCTGTTTCTGCACCAGTTTCCCAAATTCCAAAACATTGCTGTTATCTGTGGAGAGGATCTGTATGGAAATTCGGCATCCTTGTATGTTGGGTCTGATAGGCCTCCACCTAAATATCTGTAAGCCAAGCTATGCAAGATCATACAGTAAGGCAAGACCTTGTGGTCCTCAACGTAATCTTGGAGTACCTTTGTGAGATTTCCAAAGTCGTCATCAATCCTCCTTTCTGCTTCTTTTGAGGATGATTCTGCCTTGTCTTGATGAAGAGGATGCATCCTAGGATCACTACAACCATATTCAATGTGATTATTGAGTTCTTGTAGTTCTAGTTGTGGATTTTGATCCTTGTGTCTGGCAATGTACTCATTCATCAACTGGTCATCTGTAAGATGGTACCAATAATCTTGATGTGGAGACATAGTCTTCCTGTACTTGACATGCCAGAACATGTGTCGATGCTTCGAAGACGCTGGATAACCTTTATTGTAAAATCCTGCCCATTCACCAAGGTAACCATCTGAAAAACAATCCTTCAATTTTCGAAAAACTGAATCATCTTCGTTTCCAGTGATATCTTGACCATAGTAAAGTCGAATTGCAGGTTTCACTTCAGGAGCTGTTTCATCATCTTGAATGTCTGCTTTCTTCTCCCCTGATTCCTCCTTCTCTGAGGAGCGTTCAGGTGGAGCTGATTCCTCTTTCTCAAAAGAGCTTTCAGCTGGGACATGTGGCTCCTGTGTGTCTTTTTCTTCTTCTTCTTCGACAACAATCTCTTCATCTTCATCTTCTTCCTCTTGTCGTTCTTCTGGTTTGACAAAACTGTCCTTGATCTTTTGTTGAACGTTCTTGTTGCACATACTGATCCATTTCAATGTACACTCAACCAATTTGTCATCATCAGTTTCCAAAATGATATGCTTGTCCTCAACATTCAAACTTTCAATAGTGTGCTTGTACTCAGGATCACCAGCGCTCTGTCCTTGAAGGTCTGGAAGAGGAGTGTTTGGATCATCGTCCACCAAATCAGGATCCTCTGCACCAAGGAAATTTTCTGCGCCAAGGTGTTCATTGTCCTTGAGAACCTTGTCAATATCCAGTTTGAACTCATGATACGTGTCATAGGAGATCTCATAACCCATCATAGGTGCATACTGGTCCATAAATGTTGAGAAGGAAGCATCTGATAATGCCGACATCATCAACCATAATGAGAAGTAGCTTATGTCACCACGTTCTAAGGGTTGACCTCCTTCAAGATCATCTCCAGTGAGGATTGCTTGGCCTGCGAGTGTAATATCCTGTAGGATCCTTCTGTGCTCTGGTTTGAGTTGCCTGACTAAAAACAGTCCCTGTCGGTCTTCAGGATTTCTTCGAGGAATTGCATCTGGTAATATTTCATCTTCATGTTGTTCTTGATTTTTCCTTGCAAATGCCTCATCTTGTTGTGGTTGTGTTTCCTCTCTTTCTTGAGAGCCTACACCTTCTTCCTCTCTTTCATGAGAGCCTGATGCTTTTTCCTCCTGTGGCCTAACAAAAACTTGTAGTCTTGGCAAAAACTCCAATTCATCTTCAGCATCATCATCATCGTGATCTTCCATGTCCACATTCTGTTGCTCTGATTCTGGGATGTGAGCAATCTTGTCTTTTCCTGCTACCCAGATGTAGCCATCGAGCTTTGTAGATGTGTGGAAGTCACCTGAACCGCATTCCCTGACCTTTGTTCGTGCTCTTGCAGATTGATGGAATGCTTCATGCTGAAAGAATTGATTGTAGGCATGTTCAACAAAGAATCT